AGAATAATAAGAAATCTAAACTAGAGAATAAATTAAATAATAAGTTTATTAATCTTCTAAATAGTAATACTATTTAAATTAAAATTATTATTAAAAGATAAGATTAGAATATTATAATTATTTAGATTTTAATATTAAAAATATAGAGAGTTTCTTTTTATTTAAAAGTTTAATTAATTCTATTTTTTTATTATAGAGTATTTAAATTTTAATAGTTTTATATTTATTTAGATATATTTTTTAATATCTTATTTTAACTTATAAGATTTTATAAAACTAATATTAGTTTTATAAAATCTTATAAGCTAAAATAATATTATTACTTACTCTATATAAATATTATAAGCTTTTATAAAAACTTATAATAGCTTATTAGTAATCCCTACCTCTCGGACTCAGCGTGATCCAAAAATATACATTGATTGCTTCACCATCCGCTGCTCAGTGGGTTTGTGAGAATTGACGCCTCATTTGGACGCCAAGCAAGCGCCTGTCAGTCTGACTGCTTGGAATCAGCCTCATCCTGGCCACGTGACAGCCGATCTCCTAAGAGGGGTCATTTCAGAGACTTGATGCATCCCCACTCCCCGACATTTCCAAGTAAAATCCGACCAGCTGGACAGCATGAGTTGTGCCGATTGGGAGTGTTTCTGCGCCATTTGCGGCGGGCCTCTACGGGGCGTGAGCTACTGGATCGACGACGACGAGGACAGCCCTCGCCCTGGCCTGGACGCGTATAACCCAGATGTCTTTCTGACTCGACCTGAATATCCAGAGCTGGAATGGCTTGATGACATTCGCGCTCTTGGAGAGAATCCCAAGACCAGTGCACCGTCGACGTAGGTTTCATGTACGACGAGAACCATGAAGTTCGCGCTAACACCAGGATTGTTTGGCTTGGCCAGTGTCTGGCTCTCAGGACCGGCTTCGGTGGGCGTCGATGGCGACGTAAGGTTCGAGCTTGAGAAGGATTCCGATCCGGCTCTACAGGACATGCCAGGAGCTGGATATATGCAGGCGTAGGTTGCCGCCATTTCATATGCCGCTTAGACAAGATGGAAACTGATTACTCTCCCCGCAGATACTGCCTGGAAGGCCAAAACCCTTGGTGTGCACCATTCCACGTCAAATGCCATGAGGTGCTGCGACGTTTTCTTGGTGTGGAGTCCTTGGATAGAGAGGTACTCAATGAGACATTCAAAAGTTTGGGTTCACGCGACGGATGGGCGGCTTTCCTGGAGATTGACTACGGAGATATAACCGAACATAGGACGCGGGATTGGTTCCCTCTGAGAAACCACGAATACCTAGTATCTGACCCGATCGATATTGAATGGCTGGCAAGATTCTACAAGAGATTGCCTCAGCGAAAGGAGGGAGGTGATGAACCAGGCGGCGCCTACAACACGCAGGGCGATCCATTTAGCACACTTCCCCTTGACATCCTCTCACTTCTAGTATTATCTATTCCGACGATGGAAGACGTTTTCAAAGCGAGGATGGCGTCTCCTGCCCTGGCAAACGTCCCATTGTCCCAGTCCTTTTGGAAGTCGCGGATCGTGCCGGATATGCCCTGGCTATGGGATATGCCCACTCCCTCGGATGAACAGCGCCTATCAGTAGACTGGAGCCGAGTCTACAAGGAGCTATTCTGGGGGAGTCAGAGGAACGGGACGTTGGGTCTGTGTAATAGGAGAAGGATCTGGACTCAAATGTGTCCGCAATTTGGGAAGCGGTATGCCTCCATTGTGGAGGCCAAAGATCACTAGGCCAATACATTTGGTATTAATACATGTCGCATGTTGAACTTAGCACCTACATCCTATCACAAATTATTCAACTTTAAGCGGTGGCTCCCCTCGGACCTCTCGCCATTTGTTCGTGGCATCAAGAATCTCCTCACATCCCCTGACCGACCAACCCCATTTCTCCATGAATCCCTCCGACACCTCCCAGCCCGTATGATGCCAAGGAGGCGACCAAACTATCAGACCTCGCATCCCAGGTTCTATAACCCCCGTACCCTTCGATAACCACCCCGCAATATCAGAAGCGAGGTCCTGCTCATCAAACGTGCCAAGAGCTCGGATGAAGTTGTCTCTCCAGGTTGGGTGAGGGAGGCAGTCGATCCAAGCGCCATGAGGAACCAGAGACTGACATCGAGTAGGTACCAGGCTTTCAGGTACTTGCCGTATATTTCTGAGGCTGGGAAGAACCTGTAAGGCGCCCCCGGTACAGTCATATCTCGTTTCGGGTATTACTTCCTCCAATATGTGACCGTTGGTCATGATGGCGCGTAAGGTATTCACTTGAATGAGGGTGATCAGATGATCTGAAGAGAGGGGAAAGAGAAGCCTTGAGTTGAGGCACCCTTTTGGAATTATGGGAGCGTTGATGGCCTTGGCGACTGTGGCCGGTAGCAGCGCAACCTTCTGGTTATCCTCGTCCCAGCAAGGTATAGTGTCCATTCTGATGGCCGGCGTCTCCATTTTCACGGCCTTGGAAGTAGCTTGTTCGGCCTTTCGACGGCCTAGATACATTTAGCGATTGGTCGCACGCTTCAATCTGGGATGGTTTCTGGGATGAACTGACGGTATGCTCGGGTGGCTAATCTGGTCTGTCTCCTCCGTCGGGATGCTGCATCCGTCATACCAGTCCAGTCATCATCGCTTGCCCTGGCCTATGGCGTATGTGTCATTGTAGCTCAATAGGGTGCTCAGAGGGGGATTGGGCATACCTCGAGCAGCTGTGGCATGGCGCTTAGAGTTATCAATGGTGTAATTCGGGTGCTACTCATCGTGGGCCGGTCTCAGTGTCAATGATTATACCGTGGATTTGAACGCGTAGGATGACAAAGGTGGATAAGTGTGAGTAGGTTGCAGGAGGACTTTTAGGTTGTGGATGCTTGTAAATACCCTTGTTCGGAGTCCCCGGACTTAAAGAAGTCCGGACCCCAGATGTTCCAGAACGTAGAGAAGACGCCTCTTCACCTCCATACTTAATTATTTTAGGTATTTTCAATGAACTAAACGTGTATCAGATTAGTGTCATGGTCTTGATGTTGCGAATTATCGGGAACTTAGGTAGTTGGCTCTCTGCGGTAGAGTTAAGTGATTCGGACTTAAGATCTCGACTGTTCAGCTATCTACGGACTCTAACATCGTCTGCATTTTCTAGTCCTCCTTTTCGCACACTGATATATTTCTTACTAAGTTTGGTGTGACAAACTGAGTCTCCTGGACACAACCATGTCCTCAACATGCTCAATGTCCAGCTCGATCGTTTTTCGGGTGTTTGGAGCACTTCCAGGCACTGTGGCGAGATACTCCCTGGCATCATCAACATATTGTTGCATATTGTTAATCTCATCATGTATGCGGTTAGGATCCGGCTCTCTTGGCCAAACAAGAGCCAGGTGAGGTTCTAGAATATCGCTGGATAGCTTCTCACATGCTGCCTTGGACAGATCGTACGCTCTTTTGTAGATGATAGCATCTCTCTGTGCTTGGCGAAACTCGTGATCCTTTTCTGATAATTCTCCTCCTTCTTCTAGCTCCCGTAAACGAGTCTGTTTACTCTCGTATTCAGATTGAACCATCTCAAACTCCCATAGAGGTAGGTCTTCTGCTCTTTGGCAGACACCTCCAGGACAAAATGTGTCAGCCATTTCTCGAGCAGGCGCAAGTTGCTTGACAGTTCTCTGCTGGGCGTGCTCGGACTTCCACTGAGAAAGTCTCGCAGCCTCTTTCTCCTCTTGAGAGGTCGCTTTGAGAGCTGACTCTTTTGCCCGTTGAACCTCCCGGGGAAAGCCCTCCATCCAGGACTGAAGAGCCGCAAGCTTCCTAAGAGGCTCTTCGGCTACATATTTTGCCCACACGGCACGGGACTTTCTAGCCTGCTCAATCTCGAACGCATCACCATCAAAGCGGTCCGGCCATCCGTTGTTCCTGTAGATTGATGGCAGATCCATATCGTAGTGGTCCCACTCGCTGCCAGTATCATCACCGCCGCCGGGGAGAATGGTGAGCTGGCGATACCACTTATTGATATCCTTGAGAACGTCTGGAGCAGGCCGGCTGGGTAGATGTTCAAAGGCGTTGTGGTTGAGTGAAACGGGCGGCATACTTTCCGCCCCCTCCAGCGCTGGATCCGAACTGGACCAGCCTTCTTGATCAATGATCCAGATCCTGTGCCGCCGTACATCGTAGATGATTACGCTTTGGTGATTCCCCATCAGAGGTAGGGGGGTCACCCATGGGCGCATGTATGGCCCATCCTCTTCCTCAAAACCGGCCTCGTATCTTGGATCACCATAAAACGGATCCCGGCCCTGTTCAACGTCACTCGTTCGCCGAAAATCCGCGAACTGACCTCCCTGGAAAAACGCAGTTTCTCCGCATTCAACATACGGCAAAATGCTGTAGAGATGGATAATGGCAGGATCTATTCTGTAGCTGCTCATTGTCTCTTGGACGTGGCTGAGGTCGTGAGGTCCAGGATTGATGCACAACGGATCGAGATACCTCATTTCAGCCAGTGTTTGATAGATTTGAAGCAGTAGATCCGCCACCTCCTCTGTCTTAGCAATCTCATCGCTTGATAAGAGGTACGAGGATGGCCTGTTCAACTGGAAGTTCCGATACCTCAATAGGACGTTTCTGCCGTCAGCGAAGAACGGCATCGCTATTGAGAGCAAAATAACCAATATTGCCGCCCATATAAAATTAGTACGGCGCTGGGGTGGTTGAGCTTCTTGATCTGGCGGCGCCATGTCTTGCGTGCTGGAGGCTGACTTTGTGGGTACACATCAAAGTAAGAAGTAATTCATCCACTCGATTGAACCAGGAAATCATCCGCGGATCCCGTTCGCAGCAGTCTGCATGAAATCGTTTTCGTAGACGGTAGTTGTAGGGTTACAAGCCGAGCGCGAATTGTCTCCAATTTCAGTTTAGGGTGGAGCTGCCTAACTGCTGCCTGGTAATCACCCTTCCTACATACCCTGGAGACTGGCTCTAATCCAACCAGGTTCAGCTTTGGCATGATGAAATAAAAATGAGGTTTACGACTCGATGTAACGTACTGACAGATCCATGGGGGTTAGGCAAGAAGCAGGGGAATAGTGGCAGTTAGAACCAGGCCTCCCTGTATGAATCTCTTCTCTTTCTATAAGTTGTGAAAGTTGAATGTGTTTAGATATTAAGGCGAGATTTTACATACTCTTCAGATATCTACTACAACCGGTTTCCAAACCCACAAAAGGGAGAGTATAAGTCCTTTAGATGTAGGCTATCGGTCAATGGCATAAATTTATTCGTCTCTTAGACCACTATTGATCTCAAAAGCAAGTGGCTGCTGCTTATTAGTGGATCTTCGGGATATTAGCCTAAAGGTTTGCAACATCATAACATGCTCCTCCAACCTCTAGCGGGTTGTTGAAGAAGAGTTGCGTATAATATACCAAGGAGTAGGTTATAAGAGTCTACTTGTCAATAATTTGTGGTATGGAAACGATCTCTCTTGTCCCCTGGTGGAGGCATTGACTGCGCCGCATAACCTGAAACCCTGGCTACCCAACTACCTTCTTCGGCCAGTTCCTGATTAGTTTAGTTTGCTGCCTAGTGAGATAATACAGGCTGATCAGTCAAGGGTCGTCCTACTTCATGAGCTAATCGTTTGCGAAAAAGACTCGCGATTTTCTCTCTACATAACGCATATTGATATCTGAGCGCAAACCAGCAGATGTTATCATTTGACTGACTTTGCGATCATCCCGATATCATTTTATTTCATTTTCTCAGCGGCCACCAACGACCAGAATCGACAGTTATGCAATACTCGCCAATAGAGGATGACGCGACCGACAGCGACGTGAGCATTCTCAGCCCTGACGACATTCGGGACTATAATCCGGATCAGATTCTGCCGCAGCCCGAAAAGACAATCAAGAAAATACGCGCCTGGCTCAAGCCCACTCCCTACGATGTCGTTGGCGGCGAATTCCGCAAGCACCTGCTCTCTCACGCGCCCGGCACAGGAGACTGGCTCACCTCGAGCGCCACGTACAAAGAATGGCTGGAGAGCCAAGATCACGGGCTCCTCTGGATAAGGGGAATACCAGGCTCGGGCAAGTCCGTCATGGCCGCGAGGCTGGTCGATGAGCTTGCCAAGCTGAACCCGGGCTGTCCTGTCCTCTACTTCTTCTTCCGTCAGATCATCGACGCGAACCATGAGCCTCAAGCCCTGCTGCGAGACTGGATGGATCAGATTCTAAATTACAGCCCTCCTCTGCAGAGCCAGCTTCTGAAATATGTCAATGATAGGCGGACGACAGGGAGCATCTCCATGGAGGATATGTGGAGAGACCTGAGAACAGCACTGTCCAGCTTGCCGGGGAATGTGTTTTGTATTGCCGATGCCCTCGATGAAATGGACCAGGGCAATGACACGTTTCTCCAGGCCCTTGGGTCACTTGGCCAGTTTATGCCAGCCAAGGTGAAGGTGTTGATCACCAGCCGACCCGTTCCAAGCGTCGAGGGTCCGCTCCGGAAAACATCCGGTCTACACGTTCGGCTGCAAGAGAATTTGGTTGATCTTGACATCTCGAACTACGTTGATTTAATGCTGGCCAAATCAAGCATACCTGAAGGTGACTGGAAGGTGATTCGGGAAGCTGTTCCTGGCAGGGCAAACGGCCTATTTCTCTATGCCAAGCTCGCCATGGACGCGTTTCTTGAGCCAGGTGCTGATATCAAGTCAGTAATTGGACAACTGCCAGTTGATCTGAACGCCTTGTATACAGATCTCCTGAATGAACATGCAAAGAGATCCGGCGTTGATCCTAGAGTCCAGCATCTGATCCTCCAGGTAGTCACACATGCCACTCGACCTCTCCGACTGCTCCAATTGACAGACCTGGTCATGGTTGCGAACCCTGACGAGAATGCCAGGACTGTCAAGGATACTAAAAGTCTCATTCGAGCTGCATGTGGACCGCTGCTTGAGATCCTCGCTGATGAGACGGTATCAGTAATCCATCATTCGTTTACCGAGTATCTGAAAGGTACAACGCGCGCGCGAGATTCTTCAGGATATCCAGTTCTGTCGATCGGCACAACTCACGCTCAGCTTGCGCTGGCATGCCTACATTATCTCCAGAGTGGATGTTTAGATGAGTCTGAGGATGCTGAGGAGGATAACTCTTCCAACGAAAGCACTCAAAGGTTACAATCAAGACTGAAGTACCCGTTCCTCGAGTACGCGGCGCACAATTGGTATCACCATGCTAGGCAGTCCGACAACGCGGGCCACAGTCAAACTGAGATCAATGTCCAAATTCGCAATTTCTTGTCACTGGAAGGCAAAAACAGAAACTGGCTTCCTCCCTCGCGGTACGAACTACCGAAGGTCTTGGGGAGTTATTTGCATCTGCACGTTCCTGCAGAGACAGGATTGATCTCTTACTTTCGAGAAGCTCTGGCCAACGACGTACCTGCGAGTCAAAAGTACAGAGAATCGGCCCTGTAAGACCCCCTCGTTTGAAGCGCCAGGCATAGAATTGCCAAAGACAATAACAAGCTAACGAAACATCTCTTTAGTCGGAGAGCCGCCGAATCAGGTCATGCGAGCATAGTGCAGGCACTCATCGCAGCTGGGACAGAGCCAGATGCAGATGATGGCGCTGGGCTGAAGGCCTTGCATCACGCAGCGGAAAAGAACCACCACGAGGTAGTCAGAGTGCTCCTGGAAGCCGGCGTCAATCCGTTGACTCCAAAGACCAAGAGTGAACCCTGGACGGGTTGTATACCGCGGCCAGGCACACGTGGTGACACCCCCCTCATGTACGCCTGCCGCAACGGGCACAAGGAGACGGTCAAGGTCCTTCTCGAATTCATTGAAGATGGCGAGATCAAGGACCGTGCCCTCGGCTGGGTTAGCGGCGCAGGGAGATCGCAGATTGTGACCACAATCTTACAAGACCCAGGGATTGATATCAACGCCAAGTCTGAGGGAACCACACCGCTCTGGCGGGCATGTGCTAGCTCAAATGCATCGACAATAAAGAGCCTTCTCCTCGCAGGCGCAGATCCAAATATTCCTTGTCAGCCGGTGAGCGATTCGGGATCCGGCATCTACCTCAGTGCCATGGACCGAATTGCGAGGCCAGAGGATCCCGGTCGGGATTCAACACAGGCATACGTAATTGCAGCTGCGCACAAAAAGAACCCCAATGGAGAAGAGCTGTCATCTGTAGTTTCCCTTTTGAAGCAGGCTGGTGCCAAATTCCACAAGCGTGACTGGCAAGGACGGACATTGCTTCATCTCGCGGTGCAATCACCATTCCTGACTGCAGCACTTCTCGATGTTGGCGTGGATGCCAACCTCAAGGATGAGAACGGTGAAACACCTCTTCACAATGATGACATCGAAGTCGATTGTATGACGCTCCTTATCGAAAAGGGACACGCAGATATCAATGCTACGAGGAATGATGGGAAATCGGTTCTAATGTTGTACCTCTCGTCCTACAAGTCCCGTGCTCAGCAGCAACTTGGTAAGTTGTTTGGATATGGCCCAGACTGCGATGTGGTTGATAAGGAGGGCAATGGCCCGCTTCACGTCTTCCTAAACGATTCATCTCCATCCTTGGACACCATCGAAGAACTACTAAGGGGAGGCGCCGATGTCAACTTGAGGAATCACAAAGGACAAACTCCACTCATTTATTCACGGTACCCCCCCTCAGAGAAGGTAATCAGTCGCTTGTTGAAGGCGGGGGCAGATATCAATGCTGTCGACCACAATGGGGCTACTCTTTTGTTTCGCAGCGTTTCCAGTGAAAGCAAGTACCTGGAGATGCTCCTAAGTCAAGGCGCTTCATTCAACACACAAGACTTCAAAGGCCGTTCATTGTTTCATGAGTATGTGAAATGCCATGCCTGGCGTGAGAGGACGGATTCCTTTCCCTATCTTTTGGGCCAAGGGCTGGATATACATGCCGTCGACAACGATGGAAATAATCTTCTTCACGAGCTTGCTCTCACCGAGGACGCCCAGTCCTCCTATCACGGCAAAGAAGTGATTCGTTTCTGGGAACAGCTCGTCGAGATGGGGGTGGACTCGGACCTGAAGAACTACGCCGGCCGCACACCGCTCCATCTTTTGTGTGCTGGTCAGTCCAAAATGGACTATACTAAGCACAAAGAAATCACTCTCTTCGACTTTGTACTTCCCCGAGTGAAGAATGTAGACGTGGCCGACAATGGCGGAGTTACGCCTTTGCACATAGCTGCGACTGGTTCAGAGCGATATAGCACGAGGCTGATCGCCGCAGGCGCTGATCCCTCAAGGCCCACGAATGAAGGGCTCACCCCTCTTCATATTGCAGCCCGTTGCAGAGCAAGTAACATTGTCGGCCGTCTTCTGGATGCCCTAAGAGCGAAGGACCGGGTTGAGAACTCTGCGTACTCTAGCGGCCTCGATAATGGCAGCGAGCAACCAAGGCCAGTAATGGGTGTAAATGAACCACCGTTCGGGAGGGAGACAAGATCTATTACTCCGCTGTTCTACGCATGCCGGTCAGGGACCCCAGAGACAGTACGATTGCTGCTAGATGCGGGGGCAACTGTTGATCTGAGGCAGATGCTCGACGCTACTCTCCAGTTCGAAGAGGAGTGTGCATTATGGCGGACTCCCTGCCAACCTTCAACGTGTGATGATGTCCCTGTTAAATTAGCGTCCCAACTTCGACGCGCGAGAACATACACAGGGGGGTCGTACTTTTATCGCTTAATCCCGGAACAGGTGCCCAGGCTGGACGAGATTTGGGTCATGATTGCGAGCCATCTTGCCAATGTTTCTGACACTATGCAAAGCGCTGTCCATGAGTGCATTCTGAAAGCTTCTTTGGCAGGCCATGACTATACTGCCTCGATATTATCGGGAGTGCGGCGCAAATGGCAGAGCGAGACGTTGGATTTTAAGATGATCAAAATGATTGAGGATAATAACAATTCTCAAAAACAGGACCAAGCAAAGGCATTGAAACTTTCTGGCACCGTGACCCCAGGTCGAGCTGAGAAGGGTCAGATGGATTACCACCTATCACGCAGGGAGTATCATCTAGTTGAAGAAATGGCTCATCTGGGTTGCCTTTTTCTACCAGTGCCTGGCGAATCCGATGAGAATTGTCTCTCTTACTTGGTAGGCAATGGGTATTCGTCACTGTTTGAGAAAGTGGCCGAGTCGGTGGCAGCATCTGTTCTACCGTCAGGGCACTGGCATGCGTATGGGAACAATACAAAGCCCGGGCTATGGTTCGCGGCCAAGGATGTTTCGGAATCCAGGGTTCGAGGCAGCAATACTGAGCCCCTGATTGTCACAGCCGTGCAGCGAGGACACCCCAACATGGTTATTCTTCAACTGCTGGTCGAGAGGTTCGGCGTTGACATTAATGAGTTGCATTACGACCGGGATCTCAAGGCGACTAACAGTGCGTTGCATTCGCTGGCTCAGAGCACCTCGTGGTGGCACACCCAGCAAGCATTACCGTACCTCATCAAAGCAGGTGCAGATTTGAATATCCGGAACTATCTTGGCCAGGCCCCTCTTCATATTGCGTTGAAAGAGTCGAACCGAGAGGTTGCCATCTCGCTTATTGAGGCGGGCGCGGACGTCAACGCTGCGGACAAAGAGGATAAAAATTGTGTTTCATACACACAAGAAGATGCTGAGCTCTCGCAGCTACTTCGGGCTCGCGGCGCAAACACAAATGTCACCGAGATATTTGATGCCATCGAAGAGTCCAATGTCGAAGCGCTCAAGAGGATTCTGTCTAGAAACGAACCAGGAATCAATGCAAACTCTCGGCGGGTACGATCGTCCGACGAGGACGCTGATCGTCCCCAGCGGAAGAGGAGAAAGAGGAAACCCCGTGATTATGACAGTGAAGAAGAAAAAGACAACGTCCTAGATGATCAGCTGTTTCCTTTATACTACGCCGGTGTGATGCCAACGAACCGCAGTCAAGACGCCGAAAAAATAGTCAAGGTTCTGCTAGACTTCAACGCAGATCCGTTCGCGAAGTTTCTGGCCAAATTTGGTGTGCGAAGATCAAAAGCGTATGATCGTACTTATGATACTCCTTCAATAGAAGTGTCAGAGGATTTCCGAGAGTGCACATTGGCGCATGAGCTATTCCTTCGTCGTCATGGGAGGTATGATAACTTCGTCCTGCTTCCTGCCTTGGACGTGAATCATCGCGATTGCAAAGGCCGGACCTTGCTTCATGTTGCCTGTATTACTTCCAGGGGACCAGACTCTACTATTAAGAGCGAACAGGGGGATTATGCAAGTCTGTTTGAGAGATTGGTACGCCTTGGAGCTAATTTGAAAGCTCGAGACAATCAAGGGAGAAATGTCTTACACCACATGTTGCACGAATGTGATTCTTGTAACTTCGAAAAGTCATTCTTGTGTGCTCTTGAGGCATGCCCTGAGCTTGTTCACCAGGCGGACGATGATGGAAGAACACCTCTGCTTGAGGCCGCAATATATGCTGCTGACACGAAGGAGACAAAACCGTTCAACACTCTGCTTGAGGCCGGCGCCGATTGCTTCACTGTCGACAAGAATGGAGAAAGCTGCCTACATAAGCTCGCAGAGAATCTCCTTACTCAAGGCCTTCGTGACCATTTCAAGGACCTCGTCAAACGAGGTGTTGATATCAATGGTGTCAACTCAAGCGGTGAGACACCCTTGTTCGCATTCTCTCGCCGCCCAAGAGGATTTTCCACCAAGCGGTATTTCGAAATGAAATGGTACGGAGACAGATATTTGGAAAAGGATGCCTTGCCATTACTGCTGAAACTTGGTGCCGACTTGACTGTTGCGAACAATAAGGGACAGGGGCTGCTGCATGCTGCCGCGACTGGTGATGTTGATCGGTTCAAGGAGCTCATGGATGCTGGGGTGGATGCAATGATGGAGGATGAAGCCCAGCGAACGGCACTTGATATCGCTGCTGCTAGTGATAATCAAGAGGTTCTCGCGCTATTCGAGAGGAAGAGTTAGAAGGAAAGTTGGGAACATGTTTTCAATGCGATGAGTTGGGACTTCTCCCATCCCCTTTTTATACAGATTTGATAGTGTGATAACACATTTGATCATGTCACATCAAAGTTTTGTTTTGGTTGTAAACTGTGACATTCGACCCGTTCTTTCAAGCTCAGGGTTTCATTCCTTGCTGGCATACTACTGGACTCCCATTTTCATCGATGGCATGACACAAATACCAGATACGGAGCAAGAGTAAGATAGTCGCCATTATAATTCGATAATAGAGCCGTACATGGTAACGGAAGGAGTAGTACTCTGGAGGGTTTTAGCTCTGATGAATAGGATGCTTTGATTTCTTCTTCGCGGACAGAATTGAACCGAATGTGAATCCAGCTCTAATTATCTACTTGTCAGAGTCGAAGAAGATTCCATTGTTCTTGCGCATGTCCTCCATAGCAATCAGAATGTCAAGACTCAAGTCTCTCAGGCGGGCTTCAGCCTTTTTGTCCCCTTCTTGGATAATGCGTCCGAATTCCCTCGCCTCCCAGGTCAGGTTGAGTAAATCACTGTACTCCGGCTTTGTGTTTGCTAATTCTTCACCTGTGGTTTGACCATGTGGGATGAATTCAATCGTGTTAATCTCAGTGATGCTAGACGCGCCATTGATCCGAATAGTGCCCTTCTCACAGTAAATCTCTGAAGGTGTGTGTGACACGTAGAGTTTACTGGATTGTGCGTGCACGACAAACTTTTGTCTGTGCTTGGAGCGTTCTGCGGTATACTGGAAGATCATGTTGCCACCGCCATCGACTCCAGTGCGAATGATGATGGGAAAATAAGTTTGATTCGCTGGTGTACCAAAGAGCGCAAAGATGAAAGCGACAGAGTAGCATCCCACGTCCCACAAGCATCCACCGCTGAACTTGGGCAGAACGATATTGGCCTCTTTGCCATCCTCCGGCGCTATGGCATACTCTGGGTTGTAGACGGCTAACGATACATTGGCGCCATAGATCCGCCCGAACTTGTCCTCCCTTGCCTTTTCGTCGTCGAGAAGACTTTGCAGCTTCAGAAAGTTGGGCTCTTGGATGTGACGCCAGGCCTCAATAACGCATAAACCCTTCGCGTCGGCAAGCTTGTACAGGCCCCTGACTTCGTCGGCGTTGGAAACAAAGGGCTTCTCTACAATAATGTGCTTGCCGGCTGTTAGACTCTTGATGCCATGCTCATAGTGGAACGAGTTCGGTGATGCAATGTAAACAACGTCGACCTCGGAGTCGGTCAGCATCTCCTCTAGACTATCAAATGCCTTGACAGATGAAGCATCTTTAATAGAGGGCGTCTGTGAGATGAACTTTATAGCCGAATCAATGCTGCGTGAGTAAACAGCCTTCAGTTGGAACTTGGTGCTTTCGTGGCTGGATTGCACAAACGAGTTGCTTATCCAATTTGTGCCGATTACGGCAAGTCCCAAGGGAGCTGACATATTGAGAAACGGGATCAAAGATTTAAGAATGTGAAAGATAGACGATGGGTACTGCTAATAGATGTCTTTTGATTTTACGGTCCATTCGCCTTTAGTAAAGAGGAGGCATCGGCTCTTTTAAACAAAGGAGAAGCCTTGTGCCAGCACAGCATGGGCGGGCACCTGTTGATCGGGGGTTAGATGCTCTTGATCGTTATTTGGGGAAATTTTGGCCGACGCATAAAAACTATTCTAGTTATCGTCGCCGGCACTAGACCATCTGTGATGCAAATCATCCCCAAGTGGAAATAATAAGTGGGAATTGTCCTCCTAGAGGCACATTTTCTCGGTCAGGAAGTTCGTCATCATAAGAAAGCGGCTCGACCATTTGTGGTCTCATCGCCCTCCAAGTCTGCATTGAATTCCACCCAAGAAGAGATTTTGATCCCATTTCATTGCGTTTATAAAATAATAAACATGGTTCAATTCCAAAGGCATAGCCAAATGAGACAGCTGCCCCTCATTGCTGTTGAGAAGGATTCATTTTGATGACGGCCCAGAATATGGCAATGGTCTGACTCGTCAATCTATATCTTCTACTTCATCACAGTTAATCCAATAGCCCTGGCGCTTGTCTGGGCCACCTGTAGTGTCAAGAGATTGAGTATCTCTAGCAGAGACATTGGCTATAGAAGTCGGAATTTGCCGCCAATATCTTCTCCCTCCAGATTCGCATTCTTGCATTTGCAGTGATGCTTGGCCCTGGCCTTCGCTAAGAACATTGCTCAACGTATGGTAGCCGGTGAGATCCCAATCCACCGTCACTTCTGCTGTGGGTGGTGCTATTCTTCCCAAAAGGCTATCGATCCTCTGTAGCGTGACAGACACGTTTGCTGGGATTGATTGACGCCATTGTTCGGGGTTAAAGGTCCTATAGTGATGCAACTCATTAAGCAACTGATTCCTCTTAATATAAATATCCAAGTCCCAAGTAAGGGGGTATATACGGAGATATAGAAGACTTGGGAATAGGGGTGCGCTGTGCGAAGAAAATTCCGGATCTTCAAATGCGTACTTGAGAGGCGATCTTTTCGTATCAATCGCCAGTTCTAGGGATCTAATCGATCTGCGGATGTTGGGAGGTAGTATGCTGGGAGAAGAAAGCATGATATCGTATGACGACAGGTTTATGGTGTTTTCTCTATAGATCACTTCCATGCCTTCGATATATCTAGACATATTGTTATCTTCAAGTCAGCCCTTAATCTGCTAAGGATCTACGAAGGGCTTAACAACTACTCACGCTTGTTTAGAAGTTAATAGCCAACCTAGGCATTCCAGTCGACATTTATGAGGCTGATTCCCAGGCCAAGCGTGGCAAACTCCGCCCCCTATCAGACAGGCTGAAAACTTATAGTTTCGAATATCTATTCCAGGAGAGCTGCGAAATCTCCCTAGAGATAGTGCCATGTCTTCTGGACCAGAGCGATGACAGACGCAGCCATACCACCGCCAGTGCCACTCGTCCTCGTCGTACATCCTATTGTAATGATCGGGCCGTTGTACCAGTCCGGCATGCGTCTTCACAGCTGATACGCCGACCGGATCTCCTTCGTAAGGGTTAATAGTCGGCGTGTAAGAGAGATCAATATGGACGGTGCGTTCGCCAAAGGCGTAGACCAGAATTCGATGTCGAATCTCGGGGGGCAGGCAACCAAAGAATCTGTCCTTCGGCCCGGGTTGTGACGCGTCCCTTCGAAGTCGAGCTAAATCAAGAGTAGAGGACAAAGCAACGTGCTTTGGGAAGGCCTCTTCGCGTTGTTTTACGAACCGCGCATATCTATTTCTCTCAGACTTAGGATGCACATACTGCCGAAATCGGACTATGAACTCGATTGTGTAAATGAGTAAATAGAGAGGAATGCGAAAGAAAAGGCCATATAGAATGAATGGGACTAAAAACAATAGGTACTGAAGAACCCCTATCTCCCGGAATAGGAGTATCAGATACCGAAATCGTGGGCACCCTCTTTTGCGAGTCGTCATGTCTGTTGACCTTTAGATAGGTAAGTACTAAGTGTGGGGGGAACGACGATGTTGCAGCTGAGCAGTTGATGATTCCAGTGATCCTAGGTGCGGGGTTTCCAGGATTTAAATACAATCGACGAGGAAACTGGGGGCTTGGGTCCTTGAGAGTATCCTAGAAAGGCACGAGGGGTTTGATTGCGGCGCTTTGAACAAGAGATCTTTTGTCGAGGCGGAGCGGCTGGAATAGGCAACTGGACAAAGGCCGGTTACATATATACTACGATTGATCAAACTTGTGGACTCCTTTCTAAATTTACATTTCCTGTTTCTTACAACTGTTTAACATGCTATTGGACTGGTAGGAGGATCACTCAGGAACATTTCGCAATTGGCGCCGTATCACACACACTGACCATTTCCGCGTTTTCACGATGCTTTGCTCTGAGCAACCATCCTGTAAAAATATCTGCTTTTAATAGACAGAAATTGACAACATGAAGCATTGTTCATTCCACTTACGCCGACGGCAGCAGCACCACTTTTGACTCGCTCATCATGTTCAGCAAACCGCGGTCTCTCGAACTACGCATTGATCCAATCATCTCTATCTTGCCACATAAAAGGTGACTACATCTATGAAGTTGCACTGCTCTCTACGCGATATCATTTTCTTTGCGCATGTTTCTGCCATAATGTCCACTCTTGATGCGGGTAAGGGTAAGACTCAGGCCGCTAGTGACAGACAATATAGGCACTTTTCCGGGAATCCGACCCAAACGAAGCTTACGTACCCGAAGTGACATCCTGTTTTGAATAGAGCTCCAGTGGAGTTTTCGATAAATTACAACACAACACTCCCCCAACTCCCAGTCCCTAGAATTTGACTTTAGCCGGTTTCTAATCCCACCAAACTGACCGCAACCAGAATCCCCTTCATTGCTTACCCTTCGCCATAACTTTCGACTTACTGAGGGTTTCCTGCTGGCTTTTACTCAAAGAGCACTTCCATCGTGTCTTCTCTTATGTCGCAAAGCATGATGGATGTGTCTCGGAGTGCCAAAACAGTCCTGGTAACTGGGTGAGTCGCATGAACATTTGTAATACCCAAATGCCGTATAAGCATTGATGCCTGCCTAGGTGCACTCCCGGGGGCATCGGTTATGAGTTGTGCAAGAGTTTTCAACTTCGAGGTATAGTCTCAATTCCATCTTCTTATACTTCTTGGTGGAACTTTCCCTCATTCAGTATACAGGATGCACCGTCATTGCCACGGCTCGTCGACCAGAAGTTCTTCAGGAGCTCGCAGGGTCGGGCATGATTGTCTTACCGCTCGATGTTACGGATTCCAAGAGCATTGCCGCTTGCAAAAGTCAAGTAGAAGAAATAACTCGAGGTCGTCTCGACATATTGGTCAATAACGCGTGAGTATTCAGATGGCCTTTGGGGCTTCTCTTGAAATCATCTGTCCAGCTAATCTTGTCTCTGCGATAGCGGCGTCTCACACACTATCTCCGCCGCTGACATTGATATGGATGACGTTCGCAAGACATTCGAAACAAATGTTTTTGGGGTCATGGCGATGACGCAGTCGTTTCTTGATCTCCTTGTTTCTGCAAAAGGTGTGATCGTTAATATGAGCAGTCTCGCATCCATCACCCCATATGTATACGGTTCGGTATTTTGCGCTACAAAGGGGGCAATCAATTCCTACTCTCGAACATTGAGACAGGAAATACGGCCTTTTGGTGTCCGCGTCATGGTCGTGATGACGGGGTTCGTAAAGACTACGAGTGGTACTAAAGTCTACCGGGAACTGCCAGAATCTTCAATCTACAAGGTGGTTGAAGATGCGTATCTCAGGAAGCTTCGGTACTCGGAGAATACTTCGAAGATGAGCGCGCAAGACTTTTCCGCTCAGCTGGTGGAAAGAATTCTTGAAGACAAGAGCTGGTTTTGGCCCATTTTTGGGCAGAAAAATGACTGGATCTGGCTTGGGGGTAGTGCCTCGCTGGCGAGATGGGCAACCTGGATCGGCGAATGGGTATTGGACGCGGTGTTGTATCGGAGGTTTGGCCTGGATGTGTTGGAAAGGATAGTGACGCAAAGACGGTTGAATTAGATACGGTAACTTGGCCAGGCTGAGAAGGATCTCTTGATAATAAGAGATAGGCAGTGACTTTCACATGGTTCTCTACTTGAAGACCTATGCTAGCGATGTAAATCATTTGCCGTTTGGCTGAGCGGCGGTAGAAAGTTTTGCCACGGCTCACTTAGCAGCATCGGAAGATTTTCCAATTCTTTCCCCACAGCGGCAAAACTTATGCCAGCTCGCTCGCATTGATTCAGTTGTAGGGATTCCAGACTACTGGCGTCTAACCCAATAAGTCCCTTTTGTGTAACGGCGATTGCAACTTGCTACATCTCAAACTCCGTCTCCGAGCAAATCACTCTCTATTGGACGAGTCTGGCAAGGATATAAACCGTAGCAAGGTGTGATTCAATGCGCCTCCTCACTCCCATCATCAAACCTCTCGGGTCCCGCCGCACATATAGCACCATGTCTCCCACCAAGCCTTTTATCCTCTTCTTCAACCCTGTTAGACATGCCAAGCCTTTTTATCAAAGTCTTCAAGAGGTTGCACATACTGAAGTCGTCACGAGCAAGACCAGGGATGAGTTCTTCAAAGACCTCGAGGGAAAATACAAGGATGTCTCTGTCATTTACAGAACCTCTGCTAGCGGTGCTGTAGCAGGCAAGTTCGACGAGGAATTCATCCAGCGCCTCCCTGCGAGCTGCAAGCACATCTGCCACAACGGCGCCGGGTATGATCAGATTGACCCGGCTGCTTGTACGAAGCGCGGCATTGTCCTTACTTATGCGCCTGATCCCGTCACCGAAGCTACGGCTGACTTGGCGATCTGGCTCCTATTGGGTGCTCTTCGGCAACTTAACCCGTCTTTGTCGTCGCTAAGGGCTGGCAACTTCAAGAAGGGCATTGACTTTGGCAACGATCCGCAAGGGAAAATCCTAGGTATTCTGGGGATGGGCCGGATTGGCCGAGCTATCAAGAAGCGTAGCGAACCGTTTGGTCTAGTCACGCGGTACTACAATCGCCGGCCTCTGTCTGAGGAGGAGGCTGCCGGTGCTGAGTACGTATCGTTCGAAAGACTTCTAACCGAAAGCGATATCATCAGCATTAACGTACCCCTCAACGCCAATACGAAGCATCTGATTGGAGCAAAAGAGATTTCACAAATGAAGGATGGGGTCGTCATTGTCAATACCGCCCGGGGTGCCATTATCGATGAAGCGGCCATGGCTGATGGGCTTGAGAGTGGGAAGATTGGTGCTGTCGGCATCGACGTTTACGAGCACGAGCCTGCGATTAATGAGAAACTACTCAAGCAGAGCAGAGCTCTTTTGGTGCCGCACTTGGGAACACATACAACCGAAACACTGGCAAAGATGGAAACATGGGCCATGGAGAACGCTAGAAGGGCAGTTCTAGGCCTCGAGCTGCTTTCACCTGTACCCGAGCATGTTAATACGCAGCCCCATTAGATTCACGACAAAGGCAAGAGAAATAAACGGGAAATTTTCGGTGTGAGACCATAGAAGATACGTCCCTAAACAAGATAATATTGAAAGTTTTCTGGCAGCGGCAATCACTGCTCTAACCCAATTGCTATTGAAGAACGAACAAAGACTCATGACAAAATAGGAGTACTCTCCGATCCAACAGCAAAGGTCACAATAGCCCAAATACCCTGAATGTGTGATCCAAAGCAGCGCCTATTATCACTTGTAGTAAAATAGCTATTCTAAATCTACCCTCGCCTTGGCAGTGGCTAGATTCTCTTTCACATTCCGAAGATTTTAAGGCAACTATAATTACAACATGTCGTAATTTGTACTATATCCAGAATTCTTGGTTGCTGTAGAGGAGGAAATACTATTCACAGTCCTCTATCATAGTTATCAGCCCTGTCCTTCTTCTAGCCATTTACGTAGCTTAGAAGAAACAAACAATATTTCATTTTTTACCCGAGATTAGAGGTAATGCGTTAAAGCTTTGTAAGGTGGAGAGGAAATTCCTCCGCGATTTGGATAATGAGGTGGCTAAAACTTTAGCCGCAACCTTTTACCGACCGGCGTCGAAGATCGAGCTGTGCCTGGGATATCACTTACCCCAGATTACGAATTTTGCGTACCATAGCTGCTGGAAATCTCCTCTTTCCAGCCATATAAAAGGCCAGACAAAACCAAATGGGGAGCAATTGACACCGGGAAGAATATAGTTGGCCCATACTCACTCTGACAGCACGCCTCAATCAATATGACTAAGATCGCTCTGCTTGGTGCTGCAGGCCAGATTGGCACACCACTCAGCCTTTTGTGCAAGTCTGTAAGTCTTTAATAATCTTCAAACTAACCATCTTTCAGAAGGCTCACAAATTCGTCTACAGAGTGATTTGTTTGATGAAATCTCGCTCTATGATGTTGTTCATGCCCCAGGCATCGCAACGGACTTGAACCACATTGATACCAGGGCCAAGGTCTCAGGCCACCTTGCTGAGGATGGAGGGCTACAGAAAGCATTAGAAGGAGCCGATATTGTGGTGGTTACCGCCGGAATTGCTCGCAAGCCAGGGATGACTCGAGACGGTATGATATATCCCCTTACAGCTCAGCCTAGGTAGTGGCTACTGCCTGTATTGCGCATGACGACATGAGTTAACGTTGCCGGTTTCTTAGATCTCTTCAAGGTTGGTACACTATCAAGCTTTCTTACATGATCGCACATTACTTACCGGCTTCTCTGCGCGCTAGACTAATGCAAGCATCATCCGCGACCTCTTCACCGAAGTTGCCAAGACTTGCCCACAGGCCATTTGCTGTATAGTGACGAACCCAGTCAACTCAACGGTTCCCGTGGCGGCCGAAGCTTTACGCAAGGGAGATGCATATGACCCTACCCGCCTATTCGGCGTGACAACCCTTGATGTTGTACGGGCGTCGACCTTTATCGCACATGCTCTCGGCGGAAGTGCCGACCCCAAGTCATTCAAGGTGCCTGTCATTGGGGGACACAGCGGCGCAACCATCTTGCCACTCTACAGCCAGGTAGTGCCTAAAATCAGCATCGACTCGGAAAAGCTGGCACAGGTTATTTACAGTGAGTTCTTATTACCAATAATTTCAATGCGTTGTGGTCTGAAACTAATGACTTTTTCACTTTACGCAGGGGTACAGTTTGGTGGGGATGAGATTGTTGAGAGCAAAAAGGGTGCTGGCAGTGCGACGACCTGCATGGCTTACGCTGGATTTCGCTTTATCAAGGCCTTGCTACAAGCGAAGAGCGGCACCCCCGTTGTAGAGGAAGCCTATGTCTACCTTCCCGGCATAGAGGGTGGCAAGGAGATTGCTGCCAGGCTGGGAGTTGATTACTTTGCTGTGAAGGTAGAGCTGGGTCCTAATGGAGCCACCAAGGTCTTTGATATCGGCTCACTGTCAGATAGCGAGGAGAAGCTGCTGGAAGTGGCCCTTAAGGACCTCAAAGCAAACATCCAGGCTGGACATACTTTCATGGGTGTGTAAATTATGTATAAATTCAATGGAGTACACATTTCAGGTTACATCCACACAAGCTAAAATACAAATGTAAATCCAATGGGAACAGCTATTTTCCTCAGGGAAGTGAGTATTGAAGATACACCCAAAAGCATCCTCGTGGTACATCCAGAAAGTATTGAAGCTGCGGCATAGCATGGAGCTACAACGCCTGGCAATACAGTCGGGCGAGTATCAATTGGAAATCTCCCATCACCCCTCTTTGCCAATGTCACTGCCCCCTCTGATTTGAATATTCTTGCTCCCACAAGCATCGAAAACAACCCGATCTCTATCCACTTTCTTTGTTTCAGAACCTGGATGAAGCTTTGGGTGTCGGATCGATGAGCCATAGTTGGTTCATCCTGGCGCCAAGTTTATTGTGTAATCGTCATCGTGGTATCTCTTGGTAGATCAAGTAACCCGAAAACCGGTCTGGACACAGTCGTCGTTACCATGGCTGAGTTCACTGTGATACATTGCGTTGACTTTTTCAATTGACAGTATGCAAGAGTTGTATAGATGCTCTACAACTCTGTCGTGTGTAAAGGTAACAGACGGCAAAGACTATTTCACAATATAAGCAGATGACGTCGAGGATGATGATCTTTTATCATTGCATGTGAGGCGCAGTGATCATTGGCTTGCGCTAGAAAACGGCTCATGTCGTGATTGACTCTCTTTCCGCTTAGGCTGTTAGCACGATGACTCTCAATAGCTTGAGACCTACAGAAATGAGAGGATTTACGACAGATTAGGCATATATATTTACTTGAGAGCTTATTTATTTATTTTGGCCATTAATTTGGCTATTGAGTCCAAGGTCGGGTGAAACCGATCATTCAATACGGTGGCCAATCTGTCATTTGTGCTGACGATGCGCCTGTAACGGGCGCTAAATTGTTAGCGACTGCATTCGGCCAGGCGTTTGTTACGTACGTGGTTTACGGGACAGACCGGGTGCGTCGCTCCGCTGCCGGACAGTTCAATTACGGCTACAAGGGACGGATCAGCGCTTGCGGAACGTTACGTAACGCTCTGGGATAGCCGGAACAATGAATTTCTGGCGGCTTCATCCTTGAACCATCGACTTTCATCTCCATCAGACCGCTTGGCGCCAAGATAACATCCAGGATAGTATCCAACCACCACCAGCAACAATGAACAAGACTTCACGCACCGAGGAGCCGTACGAGCAGGACACGCGCGGCTTCAACCAGAACCCTGCCTCGCTTTCGGCCGACCTGACCACCAATCAAGATCTCAACGGCATTGTCAATGAGAGGGAGCAAGCATCGGACAAGCGCCGTCCCTCCCCGTCCGAACCGCCAATACAGCAAGGTATACAGAATGAGCCAACTCTCAGGAGGCCTTCCAAGACCTTGGCGGGCCCAAAGCAGGCTGGCGAGGTCGCCGCAGTCAGCCTGCTCGATGGGAGGGACATGGCCCAGCCCGCCAGCTACATGTCCATCCCGATACCGCCTCCTCCTCGCGACAGGGAGGGAGGCGATGGAGAGGGCGGTTCTCCTAACTGGAGACGCCAGCTCAAGAAAGCCGTCGTCAAATTCGGCTCCTTTATCGGCCCTGGGTTTATGATTTCCGTTGCTTACAGTATGAGACGCAATCACCACCCCGACTAATCGCTTTTTCTTGATACTAATGTTTGAAATCTCTAGTTGACCCAGGAAACTACTCTACCGGTGTGGCGGCCGGGGCTACATTTGAGTACAGACTGCTGTTTGTCGTTCTCATGGCCAATCTCTTTGCCATCTTTCTCCAGACACTATGCATCAAGCTAGGAACAGTCTCAGGACTCAATCTTGCCCAGTGCTGCCGGCTTTTCCTTCCTCCATGGATGAACTACATCTTGTACTTCTTTGCGGAGGCTGCCATTATCGCGACCGATATCGCCGAGGTATGTGAACTCTACAAAGGCTACTTGAAGGAGTGTTAATGGTTAATGAATGTAGGTCATCGGATTTGCCATTGGTCTGAACCTCCTGATACCGGCGATACCCCTCGTTGCCGGGTGCGCCATTTCCATTGTCGATGTCATGCTTCTACTTCTATTCTACAATCCGCATGGGACAATGAGAGGTCTAAGATTATTTGAGCTTTTCATCACGTTCCTCGTACTAGGCGTCGTGGTCTGCTTTTGCATCCAGCTCTCCCTGATCAAACACACCAGCATCGGGACCGTCTTCCGTGGCTTTTTGCCGTCTGACGCCATCCGTCAGTCAGAAGGGTAAGTGTGACAAAAGCGATTACGGAAGAGGCCACATGTCGATTTCTAACACGAGGAATAGATTGTACCAAGCTTGTGGCATTCTCGGTGCGACCGTTATGCCACACAGCTTATATCTCGGCTCCGGTATCGTTCAGCCACGCCTAAGAGAGTACGACGAGAGCCATGGCCTTGCTCCCGAGACTCGCGACAACATAGATGATTCTAGCGAGGACGGCAAAGACTATTACATCCCCTCGCTCCAGGCCATCAAACACTGCTACCGCTTTTCTGCCATCGAGCTGGCAATATCGCTCTTCACATTTGCCCTCTTTGTCAATTCGGCCATTGTCATTGTATCCGGTGCCTCCCTCTTCGACAACCCCGCCGCCCCGGAAGCTGACATCTTCGGCATTCACGACCTCCTATCGCGATCCATCTCACCAGCTGCCGGCACCATCTTTGCCCTGTCTCTCCTGCTGTCTGGTGTATCCGCCGGCATCGTGTGCACAATCTCCGGGCAAATGGTCTCTGAGGGGGCGCTGCGCTGGAAGGTCCGCCCATGGCTGCGTCGACTCATCACCCGCAGCATCAGCATCATCCCCAGCGTCGTCATCGCCGCCGCAGTAGGCCGGTCAGGCCTCAACGATGCGCTCAACGCGTCGCAGGTCGTGCTCAGCATCGTGCTTCCGTTCGTCACCGCGCCGCTGATTTACTTCACTTCCCGGGTCAGGTACATGACCATCGCTCCTGGCTCGGATCGATCGGGCGGCGTCACTACCGCGAGCGAGGCTGCTGGGGCTCGGCAGGTGGGAACCACCTCCATGGAAAATTCTTGGTACACGACTACGTTCGGCATCTTGCTTTGGATCACCATGGCGGTGTTGAACGTTGCCAATCTTGTCTTGCTCGGTCTGGGCAAATAGTCAAGCCTCTGACACAGGGGGTGAATGGCCTGCTCCGGAGAGGCAAGCTCCTGAGGTGAGAGGCGGCATGCTTCAAATGCCGGCGCAGGCACATAGCCCAATTCACGATTGAGATCAATTTACTCTGTTTTGGGCTTCAAGGCAATTTTTCTCTCTATTTTAAACTACCCGGACAACGGTTTGCTACTGAACTGTTCATGTTATGATCAAATTGTTGAAGTGTGGTGGTATAGGGTAGGTCCGTATTCTAAATCCACTGTAGCTGTAGCAACGTCACACGACCAGCCAAAGGCTCCAGGCAGAGTTTCTTAAGGTGTAGCCTCGAGATACGCTCTTCTTCCTTAATTGAGTAAATTCACGGAAAATCTTGCAATCTCTCCAATTCTCGATGAAGAAAGATAATCTCCTACGTGGGGAGAACAAAGATCGTAATGGAAATTTCAGCCTTCGCAGAATCCATTTGAAGCCACTGTTTATCTTGCCGTAAGACATAATAAACAATCAATGTAGTCTCGTAGGCTCAAAACAATATGAGGGAATGAACCAATATCCGTAGCGAAGACCTCCATTATCGCGACGTAAACATCACATGCCGGCGTGATGGTTGACGCTGGGGGGAAAGGGCAGAGGTGGTGGTGAGTTCGGCCTGGGTTGGTGGTGAAATCATGGTTATTAGAAATGACAAATGAAAACGCAAAAAAAGAATGCATCTGCTCGGATTCGAACCGAGGACCTCTCCTGTGGCCCTGTGATACTTCCTTTTGGGAAGCACACAGGGAAACCGCACAGTTGGAGTGCGCGACCACTGCGCTACAGAGCCAGTTGCCGAATGACGGTAGGAATGCCCGGGGAACTTGTATATAAGGTATTGCCCATGGTGCGCTGGCTGGGGACTGTTCTAGGCAGCAGTGAACCTTGTAGGTCGAGGAAAGGTTACTTGGCCGCCAACAGCTGTTAACACATGTCAGAAGAGCAGGGTCCGGGGATTTTAGGTAACACCAGGTGACTTGTTAGAAACAGCGATGCTATTGCTTGTGTAACATGCTGTATATAGTGTTTTCTTCGGTTTATTTTCATGTTTGGAGTGAAAATAACAGAATATATATATCAATATAAAGTCGGCCAAGACAGAAGATAGTTCGGGTATAAAGTTAAATAGCAATAGAAGATACTAGACCTAATAACTCAATATAATAAATAACAAAGATTCAAAAGTCTTTAATAGCTTAGGATGATATTTATACGGAAGAAAAGTCTATAATGATAACTTACTTACTGTCAGCACGGGCTGCTGGTCAAATGACTGCCCCGTTCAAGCTATCCTCTTTCACCTGGCTTATCAGGTTGCGATTGAGGATACCGTCAATAACAAAAAGCTTTCAACCTGTAAAACACAAGGTAGGCAAAACATGGAGGTAAGTCGGCCAGGACAACGACAACCATGACGTAAGAGAAAGAGAACAAACTTCAACAACAATGGAAGCTGCCAGAACGCGACAACTCAACACAAACACAATGAATACGAAGACAACCAAGTCGCTTTTCACACCGTCTCGCCGAGTTAAAGAAACCGATCAGTTTTTTTATTCTTCTTATCGTAATTTCATCAATCTCACTTCTTCGCCTCACCATGTCTTACTTATAAGCAGATGATGAGTGTTGAGAGATTGGCTACCTGCCCTCCATCAGCACAGCATCGCGTTCTGAATATCAAGGGTCCCCAGCCTCTACTGGGCCTGTTGCCTGGATCCTTCTTCTGTACATCTACTATTTTTCCTAGTTACTATCGCACTACCTTCAGTTGAGTATCTACTTATCTTTTTCGTAGCGTAACCCTCACGGGCAACCCATCCGCAGGGTGTGCACCGCCCCCACCTTTCTCAGCTTGGTACGCTTTGTTTCCGTTGATCGTCTTGATGCCCCGTCTTGGATGTCTCACATCCCATGCCTCATAGGCTGGATTGATGCAAAACTCTCGAAGTGTCATCACAAGACAGATCTTCAGCTCAAGTATCGCGAGCGGCTGCCCCAGGCAGTTCTTAGGGCCGTGCTGGAATGGTATCCACGCCCCTTTAACGGGGTATAGGGGATCCTCAGGACCGACAAGCCATCTGTCAGGGTTGAAATCCTCGGGATCGGCCCAGTATTTGGGATTATGGTGGATGGCCAAGGTCAGCGACCACACGTTACACCCTTCGGTGGGGTAAACACGGCCCTGCTCGTCAGTGACTTCGGCACCCGGTCGCCCTTCGCGCATCGACGCAGCAGGAGGGAAGATGCGCAGCACCTCTTTGATCACCGCCAACGTGTATGAGAGCTGATTAAGCCAGTTTGGATTTTCGCAAATCAAGTCATGCTCTCGAGACGCCGTCCCGGCACCAAAGACGCTGTCGTGCTCGGCCATGACTTTCTCCAAAACATCTGGATGCGCCGAGAGGAGGTAGTAGCAATATAACAGAGTGCTGCTAGTTGTATCGTGGCCCCCGAATAAATAGGCACGCAGCTGGGCCGTCATTGTTTTCTTCAACGACTCTTTATGTGTATGCAAGGCCTTGACTCCTTCGTTTTGCTGCATCATATCGTCTAGAAGCAGTGATATTGTTGACGGGTAACGTTGTGTGTCCGGACCTTTGTCCACCTGTGTATTAAGACATTCTTCGAACCTCTTCTCAATCTCTACGGCGATGTATTTATCCATGCGCCGCCCATTTATCCAGTGAACGAGAGGGCGGAGGGAGAGATATCGCTGCAGGGGGTTCATGGCGGTGAAGGTGGTCCATTCAATCTGCGTCCGCATAGCTCTCGCCAGCTCATTGTTCGTCGTTTGGCAGTGCAACTTGGTGCCGCTGGAGAATACTTAGTGGATGGACCAGAATAGGGCCAGCAAACACGCGCTATACATACAAGGTGACAACTCCGATAACATCGAACGTCAATCTCAACGTCAATTCTTCCAGCTGGAATACGTCAGAGGTCCCTGCTGAGCATCGGTCAAGGAGGAGACGCCGGAAAACAGCAACCTCTTCTGCCACTGCTGGTGCGAGTGCCATCATGCTGCTTGCGCTGAACCCAGAGCTCAGAGCTCGACGCTGTCTCTTCCATTGCGGGCCGATTCGCATCGTCAATAAGCTCGGCCCGCCGGTAATAGTCTCGATTGGATGAACGATCGAATCAGGCACCGCCAGGTCAAAGGCTTCGACTTGGGCTGCTCCGGATGGGGTTGTGATGACCAAGGTGGTTCTACTAAATGGCCAGAGATCAATGTAGAAGAATCCACTAGGAAATCGCTTAGATATTTCCCAGAAGACGTTGTGCATGACCGTGTTGGACGGGAACGACTCTGAGACGGTTTTTATGGTCAGAAGATGGCCCGTCAGCAGTTTCACGTCGGGCATGGGCTGTTGATATAGATTAGCGACACCGAACAATCAGTCTGCGGATGAACTCGCTCATCTGCGAAATAGATCAACTGACCAAGCCCACCCGTTGCAGCTTCCATATCAACTGCCGCGCTGCGAAAAGTTTAACAAGGAAAACGAGGAGTGCTGAAACTCCCAGTGTGAGGAGTATAGTAGAAAGCCCTGCCATATCTGAAGCTTTTGGAGTCTGCATTAATTTGCTGCATCCGCCGTTGAATGTAGCCCCAAGATATTTAATCGCTGCTGACGCGTGAGTAAGATGACCTTTTTGTGAGCTACGGTGTTTTTTTTGAAGATGATAAACGCTACCTCTGATTGGTTCGGCCTTGCTGACTACAGGTCTTCAGGGGTATACATCAAAGCTGTACATTTGAATCTATCATTGTAACTGCCTCCGATATCTAAGCTAGGCAAAGAGTTACTAGATAGAATGAGATAGTTCTGCATGATGCGTTAGGAATATAGAAAGGATAGCGTCTTCCCGGGGTATTAGAAGGGCTGCAGCACATGAATTGATAGTATGTATACAGCTACCTATTTGACCGGCAGGCAGTTCCCCTCCCCCAGAACTGTGAATACAGCAAAAGCCGGTTAGCCCAGTCTCTTCTCAATTTCGACCACATCGGTCTTGCCATCCTTGGTCTTCTCCTCCAGGCTGTCATTCTTCCCATCAAAAATTTCCGCGACTTGCTCCAAGGAACGCCCCTTGGTTTCTGGGAAGAGGAAGTAGATGACGACGAACAGCACTGAGAGAATACAGCAAAAGACGATGTAAAACTTCCATCCGATGGCCTTCATGGCCACTGGGTTGACGAGCTGGCTGATGATCAGACCGATGAAGGTTGATGCGTAGGTCACTGTAACACCACGAGCGCGCAGTCGATAATCAAAGATCTCGACCGGGTATGCCAGAAGCAGGGGTGCCCAAGCAATGTCGTAGAAGAAATAGTAAATAAAGATAAAGGCCACGACGGCGTTTCCTGCGGTAGTATTGAGTGTGGTTGTGAAGTAGGCCGTAAGCGCCGTCCAGATGATGTAGCAGACGAGCATGCCGGCCACCGATGTGAGGAACAGCGTGCGGCGACCGAGTCTGTCGATCATGAGAGCGCCAGCAAATACGGCGGCAAGCCAGTTGAAAACTTGCAGCAGGCCATTGATGAGGGTCTGGTCCGAGGTTTTAGTGATGCCAATGGTGTTGAGCACGAGCGTGAGATAGTATGACACGACGGCCGCGCCGTTCCACTGGGCGAAGAAACCGACAATGGCCGCGATGAGGGTTCGTTTCCGGTTTGCTGGTGTACGGATGAGGTCGAGATAGCTCGTCTCTGACTGCATGGCAGCCTGCTGCTGGACGCTCTGCTCAATCTGCTGGATCTCGTAATCGACAAGAGGGGACTCCTGGTCGCCGCCTGCATGCCAGCGGACCAAGATGTCGCGCGCTTGGCTCTGTTTGCCATTTGCAACAAGCCATCTGGTACAAAAGGGGTTAGAGACGAATACTTGGTAGGGCCAGGTCATCTTACCTTGGGGATTCAGGAACAAAAACAAAGAACAGAAGCTGGAGAAGTGGAAGAAAGCTCTGCAGAAGAGAGGGAATCCTCCAGCTCCAGGAGTTGTCCAGACGGAAGGTTCCATAAGTTGACCACGCGGCGAAGATAGCGCCCACATACTATGGAGGAGAGCATTGCAAGTTAGCCAATGGAAGCTGTGACAAGAAAGAACCAAAATAGGGTCCGCGCCACCTACAAAGAAAGTCTGGTACATGCCCGTGGCCTTGGCTCGGTGAGTTGGGTATGCCAGCTCGGCGACGAGAATCGGGGCAGGTTGTGCGACGAAAGCTGTAGCGGCGCCGAGGATGAGTCGAGAGACGAGGAACATGGCGAGATTGACACTTCCCGCCTGCAGTCCAGCAGCGCCTATCAGGAAGAAGAGTCCAATCCACATGGACAGTTTTCGCCCGTATCGATCGCATATCCATGTCGCCGGGAACAGACCAAGTACTTTGCCGACGGGGAAGATGGCGTTCATCGCCCCGAGAAGCGGTGCTGATGGGTTGTCGAAATACGCACGCCATTGCCCAAGTGTCTGAAGTCCGTTCATCATGGCACCTGTGGATTCATCAGTTAGATTTCGATCGCGTTTGGGCGGGTTGGAAGGAGTTGACTTGCCATCGAAGCCAATACTGGCGGCGGACAACAGAGGCACCAACAAGGTGAGATTCAGGAGGACGAGATGTTTGGTTCGATACCACGGCTTTGCATCTGCCGGCAGCATCTAGATAGCACCGTGATTAGTGAGTACAATTCCGTTGTTTTGATTGATTAGGAATCTGCGCGACTCACAGCTGCCAACTCAGCTCCAACCGCCAGCTCGGTCTCTGTCTTGGCGCCCATTGTCGGAATAGGTTGATGACGAATCTTCAATCAGAAGGGAGTTGGAGAATGTAGAAGATAGGCCGGATGGGTGAGGGTAGAACTCAAGGTTATGCTCCGGCAGGGGCCTGCATATATACTACCACGCCAGGAGAAAACTTGGTGATATCGCTCCCCTTCCCCCATTCCGGGGTCTCCGCATCAGTCCCCGCAGGCAATCAGGCAAAAAGGAAAACAGGGTTCGCATTACTCAGGTGACACTAGCCAGAGACTAGCAGAACGATAGAACAAAAACTAAAGCTCCACCTCTTGAGCAGGTTGGCGAGAATGCAGCATAAGTCTGTATATAGTGACCTGGATGTCTGGATGTCTGGACTTGCGCTGGTTATTCTTTGCCTTTGAACTTGAAGTGCCGAGACAGCAAGACTTATTCAGTACCTTCCCTGCTGATATTATGCCTCCATTGGCGAAGTGACCCCGGCTTGTGAATCACCGGAAGCTCCCGAGTACAACATTTCTGTCCCACCCCCGGAACGACCTCCGGAACGACCCCCGAATCGCGGTGCCTCGAACACCTGGTGGACTCGTGTAAGCGCCGCCTGTCCTTCGTGCCAGGCCAGACAAACCATATGTGACAATAAGCAGCCTACCTGTGGGTATTGCAATAGCCTAGTCTCGAATGCTTTCACCCAGACGACGGCCAAGCATTTTATCCCTGAGAGTGCCCCTGGGTGGAATCAGACCCGGGTTTTGTAACCCACACTATCTTCCCAAGCGTTCCCCAAATGATAGCTCTAATGCGCGGAGATGTGTGCGCACGTATCGCCTTTTGGCGGCAATTCGTTCCAATTCTGTGTTTACAGCTGATAAGGAGTTGAGCCTCGACAGCCCGACGCCATCGAGACTCTGACGGAGTTGATACGGCATAACGAAAGAAACTTCATCCAAGTCCCGCCACTGGGTGGGCAAAACTTCCAGCGAGATCCCGGGTCCCGGGCAACTGGATTTTAAGCATCGGCAGTTCACCAGTGACCCCACTGCCAACAGATCAAGATTAGTGTCCGGATCGAGTTCATCATTCGTATCCAGTGCCACGGGTCTGGACTCGGTGCTGAAATAGGTAATCTTTTCCAAACCGATCCCGTTATGGCGAATCTATCTCCTCAATGGCGCGAGTAGTGCGGCCGGGGCCAGCCTCTCTACCGAGCATGGAGTTCTCCGAGATGAAAAGGCCAGCTAACAAATTCCTAACCCTCGCGCATCCAAAGACTCCCATTGTGGACACAAAGGCCCTCCATCTGCTCATCCAGCAGTTAGTTACTGATCTTACTCAACCTACCTTGTATGTGGTCTATGGGCTTTGTCGACAAAACATAAATCTGGGGCGGAGGGGCCGGCCAGTCTGAGCACGACAAGATGGAGACGGTTCTTGCCCATCAAATAGAGAGAAGATTAAGTTTTGCGATGGCGCCATCGAGTAGCCGTTGGGAAGGCGTTCGGTGTGTTTTTGTAGCCGTGTATGCTTACAATTAACGATGTGTTAGTGTGCATGAATTATGTTTTTCCTCGTTCAAACAGCTGCGTCACACATAGGTCGACCTCCCCTGCAAGCGTTTCACTAGTTACTGAAAGGAGATCTTACATTGATGATTCATGGGTCGAGATCTCTACAGTTAACTTTTCAATTAGCCTAAATAATGAAAATGTTTAACCGCTGACTTCAATAGTTGTTGTGCACTGCCTGGGATATGTCGCTTCTGACTCGCTGATGCTGGCTTTCCAACGGGGAGGCCATAAATAAGGGGGAAGCTCCCCGAAAACCGACCAACCCACCAATCATAAACGCGTGGGGACTCCATGTTTCGGGGAATACTCCGGCACAAAGTAGCATCTGCCCGGAAACCTCCCCGAACATTGATCACTGCTCTACCTTCAGCCATTATGGTTATTTTATAGTTGCTAGTCTCGGAGAATCGATGGTGTCATGAACTTATAGCCTAGTCCACAAGATCAATCTGCGAGATCATTTGTGAAATGGATCAAGTACGATTGTCGAATACAACTGGCTACGGGTCTCTTGTTATTTGAGTTATCATCACCGCTGATTGAAAAATACATAAATAAGTTATTTCTTTTATAAGCTTATAGGTAAGTGCACAAGTACAATATAACCTTAGTACCTAAAGCGTTCTGAAACGATTTGCATAGCGTTCTCATAGTGGCCAGCACAGAGGCATATATTCTGCACTGCCCAATTCTGTCCACCTAACCTATACTGTTAGCACGTATCGCGAAGAATTGAGAGATTCATGTGTATTTTCGTTATCTGTTGCCTCTCCGGGTCATCTGAGAAAACCTTTTATCTCAAAATCTCCTCTTTTAACCCTTGATTGACAGGTTCGATCATGTGGCCCTTCAATTTGGAAAAGCGAGGCCATTCGTATTGTTCGGCCAGCAGATCTTAGTGATCGCTCTGAATTCCACCAATTCACGATCCCTCGGTTCAACATGTACCAGGGAAAATAGCAGTCTTATTACACATATATAGTGAGTCCTGTTTTTGCTAGGAATCGTCAGAGTCATCGCGCAGTGGTTTATCAGTCGGGTCGGGCCGCTGCACACACTGGCGGTGTACATGCGCAGCCCAAAAAAAGCTCCGAAGGCCGAAGGCCGACTACAGCTGCAACGAAGGCCGAAGCAGAGGCCGAGTCATAATCGGACACGCGACAGAACAACGCATCGCGTTCGATTCTGACGTCCATGCACCGCCTTCACTTTTTCGTTTCGCTCTTCCATTTCATTCAGGTCACTTAATTTTGTTTGATTCAGCAATCATTAGCTCATCCGATTTTTTATGATAGCGGAGCCGTTTTGTTTTCTGCCCATCCACGCTCACGCTCTTTTTTCCAATCAACAACCTTCGATTCAACGGCCACCCCGACCAGACTGGCTGCAGCAGGATTGCAGAAAATACTTTCCGAGTGGTGCTTATCCCTATCCAGCTAATACCGAGTACTGGGGAATCCGCATCCCCTCCGAGCGTCGAAGAAACGAAGACCAAACTCATCACTGCCAGCCAACATGTCAGCCATGGTACGTATGCCTTACGGTTGAGGAGCTCATTGGTATCTACTTTCTAACCCCTCAGTTATAGGATCTCCGAGTCGGTAACAAATACAGAATCGGTCGGAAGATTGGCTCGGGGTCATTCGGCGAGGTGTACATCGGTACGAACATCATTTCAGGGGAGGAAATCGCCATCAAGCTGGAGAGCGTCAAGGCCAGACACCCCCAACTCGAATACGAAGCCCGAGTCTATAAATCCCTTGCCGGTGGTGTCGGAATCCCATTTGTTCGCTGGTATGGCACCGAGGGCGATTATAATTGTATGGTCTACGATCTTCTGGGGCCTAGTTTGGAAGACCTATTCAACTTCTGCAACCGGAAGTTCTCTATGAAGACTTGCCTTCTTCTGATGGACCAGCTCCTCTCTCGGATCGAATATATCCACGCGAAATCCTTCATCCACCGCGACGTCAAACCGGATAACTTCATCATGGGGATTGGAAAGCGAGGGAATCAGGTCAACGTTATCGACTTCGGGCTGGCTAAGAAATATCGCGATCCGAAAACCCATTTCCACATCCCTTATCGCGAGAATAAGAACCTGACTGGCACTGCTCGCTACGCCTCTATCAACACGCACCTTGGCGTCGAACAGGCTCGACGTGACGATATGGAATCTCTTGGCTATGTGGTACTATACTTCCTCCGCGGCTCGTTGCCTTGGCAGGGCCTCAAGGCCGCGAGCAAGAAGCAGAAATACGATCGCATCATGGAGAAGAAGATGACGACGCCGACCGAAACCCTCTGCCGTGGCCTCCCCAACGAGTTCGCCATCTATCTCAACTACACTCGATCTCTCCGATTCGATGATAAGCCCGACTATAGTTATCTACGCAAAATCTTTCGGGATCTCTTCGTCCGAGAGGGCTACCAATACGACTATGTGTTTGACTGGACCGTTTACAAGTATCAGAAGAACGCCGAAGCTGTGGCGAATGCTGCTGGTGGCAAGGCCAAAGACGGTGTGGCTGATGGTTCTCCGGCCGTCCGCGTCAGCCGTACTCGCAATCCGATCCCCCGAACTGGTAGGGAGACTCGGGAGACCGGCCGCGACAGAACTTGAGTGCCATACCGATTCAGATCACAGTTTTGCATGAGATCACCTCCAGAGATCTTCTATATTCCCCACACTGTCTGAAAGTCCGCATCAGCTCAATGAAGAACACTGCTCGAACGGCCTTCCGACATTCCTCTATCTCACAGAACCAAGGACACAACGACCAACTGTGAGTTTCCGACCTAAGGGAGGATATGGGCCGTGAACGAGAAGCGCTCAAGGTGGAGCGGAATACCACTCGTAATGAGGTATTGCTACAGTCAAATTCCAGGGCACAATTCACATACGGGATCGTCAGTTCATCTGAGGCTATGGGTGACATTTATGAGCTAGCTTATGCTAGCTAGGTTGAACAAACACATGGGGGACAGACGTGATTCAACATGTCATCCTGGCGCGTGACTGATGCCTGATCCAAGACAGGCGCTTCATATACGATTATCAATCCGCTCTCGTACATGAAAATATCGCGGCCTTCAATGATGGTCAGTCGTTTTGTGCGTAGTAGCTCCCCTGGATGTCTCAGGTTCAAATTCTCTATATTTCAAGCTTCAATCACCCAAATCGATAGACTAAGGCTAGCAGGTGAAATACAAATTCCTTCGTATCACAGTTGGTAAAACGTGACAGACCGTGCCGTGATCCTAAATCTAAGTTATGCAATTCTTGGGCCGTTTATTTGATGACCTCACTCGGACTGGCCCCCGTATCATCTATCAAAATTTCATCCAGATCCTCGTAAAGATATCCCGCGGAATAGTCCGTGGGCCACGACAACTGCGTTTCAGAGTTCGCCAAGGCCCAAATCTCGGGCATTGACGAGTCTCTTGGACTAGGCCCTGTCTCTATCCTCTCCTGCGCGTAAAGAGACTGGTCCGCTTCACGCCTTTTCTTTGCTGTCCTCATCAGCTTTATCAGAGACTTCCACGATTCATCCGCGTGCTGGGAAGTAGGGAATGCACCCCAGCAGTCTAGTGCAAGCTCAATGGCTTTCCACGCCCTTTGAGCGATCTCCGTCTTGTTGGACCGAAGGCACAGCTCTTCCAAAATGATCGCGATTGCGTGCCAATGAATAGATGTGCGGAATAGCCTGCTCCAGCGCAATGACGTCGATATCGTGACGACCGCATACGAGCACTCCAACGTCTCGATCGATGCTGTCAACAAGCGGTCTCTGACGGGCGGCGATAAAGTAGACCTTGCGTCGGAAGACAAAATGGGATGGTAAAAAAGCAGCGGTACCTTGGCAAAGAAGAGTCGTGTATTTAGAGCCGTCAACCACTGAAAATGTTCGTCTTCGACACAGTTGTGCAAGTACTTCTCCTCTACGTTCTTCTTGTAGATTGTTGCAATACGCTCGGTATCGTCCCAATCAAGCTGTGATGAAGGCTGTGAGCCCTCGCTTTCACGTCCGGGTTGCGGCAGTTTCTTTAGCAACGATCCAATCTCGTGTTTGACTAACGTTGGTGCCATATCAGTCATGCCGGTTCTAGGCAACGGATAATCGACGCTCGCAGGGTCGAGGTCGGAGTCATTAATGTTTAGCGGGAGCGCTGCATCTAGAATATCTTCTCGTATCAACCAATCCGTGCCTTGATCCAGGGCGGTCCTTAAATCCAGCAGCCAGACGCTGAGCCAAAGTCTAAGGCTGATCTCCGTGTCGTATGGAGGCAATTTATTATCTCGGCGAACTCGATGGATCCCAATGCCCTGCGCTATCCGCACGGCGAGGGCGGTCATAGTCCAAGTGAATCGTGACTGTTCTCGCTCTCTCAAACAGAAGAGAAACAAGACGAATGCCTGGAGCGTCATCAAGTCCGAGGACGACATGAACTCAGCTTTGGCGAGGGCTTTCTCTGTAGCCAGACGATATTTTGCAGCCAGGGTCTCTTTGTCCTCGCCCAGGAGCTCTTGTACCTATTTCATGTTAAGCCGTGCTAATGGATGAATACCAAGCGTACCTACTTCATTTGGTGTCATGGATATCACCGCGGCAAAGTACATTGCAAACATGAACGCCTCTTTGGATGGGCTTAAGAATCGAATGCTACGCTGCATCTCTCTGATCATTTTGTTCATGGATGGAGTGTGGAAGATCTTGATTAGAGGTTCGACATTCTCTAAAAACGTCTGCCAGTAGAAGGGTATTTGTGATGGAGAAGGATGCATGCTTCTAGGGTTGATATCAGGCAGGTTGTAACCGATTATAAAGGCGTAATGATCGGGGTTGGCCGCCCTGGTCTGCACGGGACAGTCCACCAAGTTGGCGCTGTTGGAGTCTGGAGTGCTTTCCATCTCTTCATCCACACCCTCAACCGGGATGCCGCCCTGTGTTTCTACGAGCTACAAGCGGCCATCAGAACAAACAAGAAAGAGCGTAGGAGATCTGTCACGTACCAATTCTGTGAGCCTCGTCAAGCTTGAAGCATAAACATGGTCGCCATGATCAGTCGTAGAAGGATCTAAGGATCCCTCAATCTGACAAAGAGATCTTGATAGGCCTTCTCCAAAATACAAGCATCGTTCTATCCACTGCTCTCTGCCCACTATACTCTCATTTGAGCTTCCGAACTGATGGTGTATTGCAATTGACGTATCGCTGGTCCTAGTACCTGGCACTCGATCGAGGCTTGTTTGCCCGCTAAGCGTCTCTGGGTTGTCGTCTTGGGAAGGCAGAACCTGTGGCGAGTACTGCGCGCCTTGTCTGCGGGAACTTAGATTCCCTATAGTGGGAGGCACTCCAGAATCAATCGGGCCAGACAGGCCAGTTCTGGAACGCTGACCACGCGGTGTCGGTCGAGCCCGTCCAGGCGGCGGGAAAATGCATGCAACTCCATTCCTGCTGCAATTAGAGCATGGAGTTTCCTTGTTGCATCTGACCTTTCTTCGCCGGCATGTGATGCAGGATCGCAGGCTTCCCCTGGGACCGTTGGACTGGGTTTCAAAGGATCGTCGGTTCGGAAGAAAGGTGCTGCGACCGGAATCTGAGTTACGGGAAAAGTCTGGATTTGAAGGAAGCGATGCCATTCTACATTGTATCTCCCAAAATTGGCTGGTCGTGTAGAGGATCGCAACTGTCGCCGCAAGTGCTTTGATTGAAGTGTGAAGAAGCGGTGGATAAACACCAGCATTGATACCCGATGTAGTGTAATCACGTGACATTCCCCAGCAGCTACCTGTTAGGTTGTTACCAGTGGTATAATCAAAATAACGTAAGAGAATAAAACGTAGAGACTTCTCATTGAAATCTGTAAATTTGAAACGTAAATAACTAGCTTGGAACTATCTAGGTAGAGATGATTTAATGAAATATTGTATAAATTCATAAAAGCTAAAAATGTCTAATTATCCAAAACCGTTGTGATTGACTATACTTAATTTTAAACATAATATATTAAACAAACTAGTATATAAGACACGTTCGTATCATATACATTCGCGGCTATCCTCTGGGTAAAAGAATTCCGATTTGTCCGAGAGAACAACTGTAAGCTTGTATTACAGCCATTCCGGTGCACTACCGGTGAAACTTTCAGGGATTCCGGATGATCTCTCTCCGGCTCGCGATGATGCTCAAAAGTGACGTTAGAGATGGATACTGCCATTTTCTTGCTAGACACTCTATCACGGGATGTTGGCCTTGTAGGATGTCAGAATCGAAAACATATCCCTTTCCTCCGGCCATGAAGATACATTGAACACGCTCTTGAATTTCCACTTATGGGCATGCCAAGAGCAAGACTATTTACGGAAGATCTCCCCTCCAGCAGAGTTTAAGAGTATCATCCCATCTACCATAGTTGGTGGTGCTAATCGGATGAATCCCGAGGAGCACCCGATGTACGTATCTAGCTCTGCATTCTTAAGCGACCGATATAATCCATTCTATTTCATTTATTCTCCCCCCCCCCCCGGACTTCGCTCTCGGTAGCAAGGTTCAAAGGTAGATCGGATATGGAAAGGCGAAGATCCCAACGGAGAAACGCGGCATTCACTAAAGCTTCTATCTAATTACATTTTCACCGGGTGTATACTTTCCCTTCGAGGGCGTGTTGCAACAATAAAACTATGAGTGATAATGCAGTTGAAGTAAGGAGGACTCACTCTCTTGAGTTCAACGCCCTCGTCTCACATTACGCCAAGTGGGTGCTCTATTAATTGACAGACCTCGTCAGGACAACAATTGGTGGTCCTTCACTGTAGATTTACCACTGGCCTCGGAATGCTATTAGCATGAATAGCCATTTTCACCCAGGTTACTTAGGATGTGCAAGCTTGGATGAATCTTCTTTTATTTAAAATATAACAAGGCTTTGTAAATTTGACCTCGTCGAGCGTTTCATTCAAATTGGAATGATGAATTGCCAGACTAGCAACATACACATGCCATAACCATTCATTAAAATCATTAGTTCGTGCGATGCAACTTTCAAGCCAATCTCTTGAGACAATCAGTACATAACCGATACAGCAATCTGCCTGATATAATCCATTGCAACATACATCCGGTCAAGTGGACTGCTCGCTTTTATTAGGGGCCGCGGTCAGACAAACAAAGAGTCGCGCCACGCATACACGTACAATTGAGACGAGAAGAGACTACCTCAGAGAAGCAGGGCAACTCCAAGATAGGCGGCCAATACCATGCCAACGGCCGCAGTAGCGACAAACTGCAAAGGAGAAGCAGCACTATCGCCGTACCCCGCGACGTTGACGTAGGCTGCACGCTCAGAACACGATGTGGCGGATGGCTTGTTCTTGCTCTTGGTCGTGCTGCAAATCTTCACACGCGTATCGACAATAGTCACGCCAGTCATCCACTTGGCCGTCTCCGTTACTGTGGTGTTCGAAGCCTGGGCGCTGGCGGCGGTCTTTGTGGCGCAGACGGCGTTGTTGGAGTTGAGCGTGCAGTCGTAGGTCGTGCCAGCGATGGCGACATGGACCTCGTTGGGGGCCTGGGTGAGGATGACGCCCTTGAAGTCGCCATTGCACCTTTGAGGTGTGACCCAGTTGTTCTGGCAGCCGAGCAGGTATCGCGTGGTAGATGAGGACGAGGTCATAGGGGAGGCCCAGATGGCAACATTGCCCGTGTTAGCAGGCGGAATGAAGAGCGTCGTGGTGCTCCTCCTCGTCGCAAACGTGCTACTCGACGCAGCTTCTACGGGAAGAGCTGCGGCCAGAAGAGCGGCAATTCCAGCTTTGAGAATGTTGAATCGCATGCTTGCGAGGCTGACTTTGCCTCAGTAATTGGGAGTGCCTCAGTAACTGGGATTAGGAATGCGACCGATGGATTGACCGATGGATTGACGACTTGAAATGCTGGTCAGGGTCAAGTCTTTATTGTCTTGGTGTTCAGCCGTTGGTGGTTGCTTGAGTTACATTTGATGACCGCGCCACAATGCTACGCCCTAATTATTTATGTCCTTTTGTTTCACCCTAATTCCACCTATTGTTGGTTGGAGGGTCTTTTGTCATTGACTTTTTCTCGGCTTACCTTTTCCATGAGAGCTGGTCCATGCAGCTACGCCCCAACGAGTTGCAGGCGCCAATCCCCAGTCATGCCGCAATCTTACGCCCTTGGAGGATCACTGCCATTGGACAGAACCGGTGTGGCTGACGTGAATCAGATGCAGACATGCAGGATTCAGCCCTGTGCATACAATGCCAAGCTGACCAACGGACAAGCGATGGTGACACCCACGTCCCGTCATCAAAGAGTCCTCGTTGGGATCGTCACATCCATGGCCAGCTGGATCAGAGCTGTTTCCTCCTCTGATTTGCCCGGAACCGCCCTCATCCCGAAGCCTTTGTTTGAGGGTACGAAAGCGGCATTATCAATCATGCTAGAGGTGGGCCAACGCTCACTCGGCAGCCGCCACGTTGACTCCAGCCACCTCACGTTGATTACACCAAGCTTCGTATGCAAACTACGGGGGCAATTTCTGCATCTGGCATTCATGGCAATCAGCCACACGGCCGAATGCTCGGCACTGGGCTTGGAGAATAGCCGTTGTCAAGTCCTTTAGACGCTGGCACTCACTGATGCGATCTTCTTCATGGGTTCAACCCATGCACACAGGCCAGGCTACGCATTGATCAACCGTGTCCAAATTCTACACATCATTGGTCCACAGGCAAAGACGGGGTACGCAGCCCTAAATTCATCCTTGCCTTGGCTGTTGAATTTGAAGCTTCGCATCTCTGCTTGTACGCAAATAAAAGCAGCCTGTGAAGATATACAACAAACAACACACCGCACTTTTAATTGGGAGCAAGGAACCAGTAATTTGCTGCTGGGGTAAGCAAGTTGTGAGACATAAAAACCGGCTTATCTGTAGCGGTCTGCAGATACGTCAGGTCACTCATTGCCCAAAAGGAGTGGGGTGTTGCGCACAAGGTTTGAAACGCGGTACACTTAGTAGGCCGGTAAACTAGCTATGCATGCAAAATTGATCGCAGGTATGAATCATGATAACTATCAAAGAACACTACATATAAGTGGACTTGGGCATAAGGGTATTAATCGCAGCACAACAAGAGCCTAGACCGATCCACATCGTGCGATAGTATCTACTAAGTAGTTTTATGAAGTTTAGTTATTAGCTATATTTAATATATAGTTCAAAGGTATGTTTAGGCTAACGATATCTAACATGTATCTTCATTCACCAAGATTCTGGTCCTGTCTTTGAGGGGTGTAGGGTAGGCTGGATTCGGGGAACTTGATGCCAAGGTGAGCAAACAATTGATCTCGGATCAGTATCTTATCTAAACGAATCGGTTGAATAATTAGATGGTTATATCGCAGACTAATTCCACCAATTGAGTTGATTCATAACGATCTCGTAACCAAAAATTACATGTTTAAGTGTATAATTCTCCTCTAATATCTATGGTGGGTATGTTCTCAAGATAGATCTAAGTCCCGTCATTCGAAGGCTAATGCCACTCATAGTCGTGAGGCATCTCGACTGCTCGGTCTTTTATGATGATCCTGGTTGATGCATTTGTGCAAAAACTGGAATTAAAACCTCTTTTGACACCTTTGTTACTCATTATGATAGTGTAGGCGATGACTTGCATGATGTGTTTGGGATGAGGAACCAAAACTGCAATTGCAATGTTGCTTCCAAGGGGCTGCGGTGAAGTCACGTGGGAAAGGCAAGATGAGGGAGTTAAGGGCTTAGAAACTATAAGATGATAAGAAATCAATTTTCCCTCCCCGAGATAGTCAACCATTTAGTGCCTGGAGGGACTGCTATGCGAGATGAGTGCTATTACATCAAGATTAGAGCCCTCTGGAGCGTGCTGAAGATGGAGGAGACTACAAGTTTCTCTCGGCTACTACCAGCACTGTTAAATTACGACAAACTTGCTCTCAGAGGGAATCTTCCCTCTGAACACAGCTGTGTTGCTTTAAGAAAGGATCCATGGAACCTGTTTCCGGGCTTTGAATACTTAATAAAGATGGCTTTTGAGTGTGTTTGGTCGCTCTCGGGCTAGAGTCTATGTACGTATACGCAGCAGTGATAGAGCCTTTTATAGACTATGGGCCAACCTTTACAAGACTCCTATAAGACCTTTTAGTTCTACCTTTTATTAATTCTCATAGGAAATCACTAATCATTATTCTGCAAAATTGAAGGTCTTGCACCATGACATTCAAGTAAGCATAATCGGAGGCCCCCGCTCCCTCATAACATGCCTCCAATCAACCCCGCTCAAGCTCTGCGAAGAACGAGGGAGATGGCCGCTCGAGTCAATGTTGCGGTCAACCCGCCTCCAGACCTCGAGAAGCAGCTGCTTGGCCCGAGCGACGTTGCCGAACCGCCTCTTGGACGCGCGGCGGAACCACAGCAGCGCCCTCTGCCGATTGTCGACGTCGATAGCCTCGACGCCGGCGATGAAGGCGGGCCAGAGGGTGTTGGCCGGCAGGACCGTGGTGCCGCGCGTGAGGGACTCGAGGTTCTCGAGGTGGTCGAAGACGCGCGCCACCAGAAGCTGGTAGTTGGTAAAGGGGCTCTTGGACTTTGTCCATGTCGGCTCGCCGTTACCAATGTACCGGGCGTTCCAGCGGATGGACTGCGGCGTCTCGAACAGGCGGCCGAAGAAGAGGATGACGGCGTAGTGGAAGGCCCACTGGTGGTTCTCCAGGAGCTCGTCGCGCAGCATGGCGGGGAGCAGCGGGCTTTCCACGGTGACTCCGTCGAGCGGATCGCGAGACCATACATCGCCCGCCTGGCCGTAGTTGGCATCGCGGGACGACAGGTTGGAGTTGAAGGCCTCGGGGTTGGTTGAGATGTCGTATAGCTGCTGCCTGACCTGCTCAAAGTCCCCTATCAGCTGCATATCGTCGCCACGGCTGGGGTTCCAGCGGGAGAACTGCCGGTCCATGCGCAGGATTCGGTGCAAGAGAGAAATCGTCTGAATGCCGACGCCAAAGGAGCTGTCTAGAACATACTGCTCACCCGGAGAGAAGACTTCTTGAGAAGCTGAGGAGCCTGAGTCCTCAGATTCGGCCGCCCCGGCGCAGCCCATCTCATTCAGGGACCATGTCGGTGTCTCCAGTGAAGGCTCGCCCTCTTCATTCTCGCCCTCGACCACCCGAGCAGACGACCGCTCTTGCGCGGTTGTGGCAATTACTTCGTAGCCTCGGAATATCTGGAAGAGCGTGCTGCATTCGCCGGGCGACTTCCAGAAGGCAATGGAACCTGTGGCTTCCATGACCTCTCGTGCCAGGTCAAAGTACTCCTTGAAGTCATCCTGCCTAGAGTCGTAGCCGTGCATCGTAATGAGAGTGAGGGTGGCGGCCAACAGTGCAAGCTTATGAGGTTTGGACTCTGGGGGCTGACTTTCTAGTGACTCCTTGATAAGCCGCTTTGCTTCGATTGTGTGGGACGAGGCCTTGGCAGAGAGAGTTGAGCTTGGGGGTGCATCCGGACTCTGCGACAGATGCAAGGCTGAGACGGCGAGGGTTGCGTTGCGGAGAGCCGACGTTGCCACGCAGGCTGGGCTCTCCAGCGCCAGTGGTAGGTAGAGATGCGCCCAATGGTTATTGGAATGGTTTGAAATGGGCATCAGGACTTTCGACACGGTCTGCCGGTAGTGCCTGATGAGATGCTCCTCTTCAGGGTCTTCCCAGTTGACCTGGGCTGACGGCGATGCTGTCGAGTTGCCATCATGCCGAGGGCTGGTATCTTCATGTTGTCTTGGGCCGCTACCACCGATGGCTTGACGATCCGGTACCGTATCCGGGATGTTGGTTGAAGGCATCAATAGTCGCGACGGAATGGGTTCACCTCCCCCATCTACTAAGGATTGCTGCAAGCCCATGGAACCGTCCAAGCTATGCGTCTCAGAGCCGTGGTCGGGGTTGCGGGAACATGTGACATCGAAAGAATCCAGAGCCATCCCGCCTAGACTAGAGATGGGGTTGTTCTCTGACAGTTCCAGCGAACTTTGCGAGAGCCTAGTGCTCATGGCCCGCTGATCAAGAAACCCGCGACATTCGTGGCGTCGCGAGCGTTCGCAGTTGACACACCTTGGCCGCCTGCCATCGCACTATCACACGGCTTGTGAGCCAAAGGAGATCCTTGACTGGCTGTAAGGAGGCGAGGACATACCTTGATCTTGCGGTCTCGACAAGTGAGACATCCCTGTTGAGATTCATGGTGAGCCAACGGTATCTGGGATTCGATGACAAGGTGATGCGGGCAGCTGCTCAACAGGGACGAGAAGGAACTGGGAGTATGCCTACAAGGTACGGTCTGCCGCCCCGCCGCCTTGCTTGTGAGCGCTGCGTGTCTTTGATATCGGCGGCCGATGTCGACATCGACTGGTCCAAACCTGCCTGGGCGTCGATGAAGGTTGCGAGGCTCATGCCGGCTGCTTCCGGTATCCATTGCATCACATCAGAGGGATCGAATAAAGGAGCGCCCCAGTCGTCGGCGCCACCCTCGAGCCCCGTCGCCGTCACTGGCAGAGGCTGATGGGATTCCATGAGAGATGATCAAAGAGTCAATCTGCGGGAGATTTGGACATGTAGCTACGGACGTTGTAGGGCACAGTCGTTGGTTGGAGAGGGCAAACTGCACGAGCCCAGATCTGGGCTGGGGAAATCGCTGTAATAATACCTAATAAGCGAGTCTTCCCCGCACTTAGAAACGCTCCACTAGAATCTTATCTAGGCGTGGGCAACTGGGTACGATTTGGCTCCCCACACAGATCAGCAGGACGATGAGCGGTTTTGACGAGTCAGGCTAGTTGCGTAGTGATTTTTGCAATGCCACTATCAGTCTGACTACCGAGACAGCTATGAAATGTTGTATGTATGACTACCTAACCTGATCTGCGGAATAACATTGAAGTCCAGGTTGGATTGATCAAGAGCCTTACTTTACCTAACTCATATACTCAAGCACCTTATCAATCAAAGGGGAAATGTGTTGAATGAAGATTCTCTTCTAATTTGTAACAATCACCAATGGATCACTTGCCAGATACTCAGACCACCACCCAACGTCGCATGATGTAGGTGTTGCTGCGTCAGGGCCTCTCTTTTAATGCCCACAACTACACTCAACCCAAAGAAAACCAATGTATCGGGGAGAACAACTACCGAAGTGGCAAGGAACCTCGCGTTCTGAACCTCCATCTCAAGGACATCTACTCCACTGACGTATGTATGCTAAGGTCATCTCGCTGTACTCAGAATTCGGAGTGCCCACTGGTTCTACTACTTGAGCTAAACTGCAGATTCCCTGTTCTGGCCCTGCACGTTCGGTTCACGCTAGCGTCAGTCTTCGGCCCGAGAAAATCTCGGCCGTCTCTGCTCGATATTGGTTTCACGGCCTCGGGGATCCTCAAGCTCGGTGCATGCTTCAGGCTCAATGTGGATTAGGCAGCGCCGGGTTCGACGCACATCCTATGCGCCTCACGCTTCTCCCAGACGTGCACCATGGCCGAGGCGAGCAGTAGTTCGAACCGAGCGATTGCTCGCACAGGCCATCCAACCAGGCTGACCACTGACGAGGAATATTCGCAACTCGCAACTATAATCCGTCAAGGGATCAAAGTCAAACTTCATACGTCTATATTATAGATATCCAGCACCGTCCTAGCCCGAGAAGGAGATCAACTCAGGCTTCTTGATTACTCCGCACATTGACGACACTCGACTTACTTTCATCTTCACGACAGTTTCACCACCCGCCAACTCCTTCAGTAAACAACACAATTACAACATAGAAGAAGATAAAACAGAAAGAACATCAACAAAATCTTCACAATGGTCATGGCAACTGGCGCTGTGTCGGCACGGGAGACTATTCCCTTGCCAACGACCCAACTCGAGCAGTATGCGGTTCAACCATTCCAGCAAAGTCCCGCCACTAGCTTCAGTTATATCCCAAAGTATCAGAAAGCGATGATTCTGCACGGTATCAGGCAGCCCTATGAGTTGACCGACGAGCATCCTGTTCCGGTGCCCTCGCAGCCCGATGAGTTGGTCGTGAAGCTCTATGCACTTGGACTCAACCCTATTGATTGGAAGTCTGTGTAAGTTGTCCCCGCCGCAGTATATCTCAATTCTCTCACTATGCCCTCGGAGACGAGCTAACACAACCTCAAGTGATTACGGCTATGGAATTCCCAACCTCCCGTACGTCGCCGGACGTGACTTCGCAGGAGTCGTCGTCAAGGCGCCGCAGGCAGCGGGTGACTTACGCGAGGGAGACATTGTAAGTAATCTATCCTATCTGCGACCTGTGCATCCACGGGCGAAGAGACTAACTTCAGGCTGCAGGTCCTCTGTGCTTCGACCGACTACCGCGACGTCCGCAAGGCCGCATACCAAGAGTACGCCTTGGCCCTCCGACACACAGTCTGCAAGCTCGCACACCACACCACGCCGGAGCAGGGCGCGTGCCTCGGGGTGGCCTACGTCGCCGCAACCCTGGCGCTGGGATCATGTCTAGGCGTCAAGCTGGCCGCCCCCAAGCTCAGCCAGAGCGTCGACCTGTTTGGCCTCGTCCGGTCGATCCCGGCTTCGCAGGTGCCAGAGGACATACGCGCCGAGTGTCTGGACTCAACTCTGCCCGAGGAACGGCCTCGGCCTGGTGACTGGATCGTCATCTGGGGTGGTTCGTCGACTAGCGCCCTCTTCTTGTCACAGATTGCCGGCTGGGCCGGCCTTAAAGTCATCCTGGTCGTCGACGCGGCCAAGCACGGGGCCAAGCTCGCCGAGACTGGCAGCACGCTTGTCGACTGCCAAGATGCCGAGAGGGCCGTCGAGGTCATCCGTGGCATCACGGGCGGGAATCTCCTCTACGGCATCGACACGGTCGGCAAGGATACGGCGGCTCGCTTGGCTGAATGCATGGGTCCCAACTCGGAACGGCGAGGCCACCTGGTCGCTCTCGCTGCTCCTCCCAAGCAGCGTCTTGAGGGTGTCGTTTACCACTCCGTCCCCATCAAGCTCTTCCATGAGGTTCCCGTCGTTGGACAGAGTCTCATGTCGTGGTTGGAGATGGCCCTCGAGTCAAGACTCCTCGCCCTGCCCTCTGTTTCTCTTGTGCCTGGTGGACTGCAAGGCATAAACACAGGATTGGACCAGATGCGGCAGGGCAAGGTCTCAGGCAGGCGCCTCGTTGTGCCGCTCAAGGCATGATTGCAAGAAGATATTGTTGCTCCCTATTTTTGATATCCTCTTTGTCACGATCGTTAGTATAGTTGATGCTTTTTATATATATGAATACATGAGTATACCACATGATGCGATGCGAGACATATTTCCATAATATTTTTTAAGGCTGCCAATTAAACCACATCAAGAAGTAAGAGCAGTTTGTTGCAACAACCAGTACAACAAGATGGTAATAACAATGAAGAATTAGACAAAGAACAGATCTGCAGCAGTGAGAACCGCAAAGGTCTTCTGGAGGGTTAAACTTCAAGAATCCTGTGTAAAAGCCAGGGAGTGTTATTCTTCGCTCTACCTGAAGATATCCATTCTCGACCTAGTCAGACGAAGAGAGTAAAAAACTAAGTCCACGCCATCCCATCCCATAAGAACCCAGATCAATCACGGTTGAAGCGGTTATCAGTCGTCTTCGATGAATCTGACACGTCTACTTCTTTGCCTATCCTGGGTTTGTGGTATCGAATCCATTCGATGGTGTTGCGGAGTCCTACCTAACAAATACAGTGTACAGCAGGTGCCAAATTTGACAATATCAGCACCGTAGACTGAAAGTGATAAATGTCATCATTGATGGCTACATTTGCCCTGGTGCAAGAGTTTTTGACACCCGAGAACGCAATCTCGATACTCCCAACCCCAACTGACTTCCATTTTCGGTCTACTTGCCTCCTATTGATCCCTAGTTCCTCTGCCAGGGTCATGAACTTGGCTGTATGGGACATGCAAGCACTCTTTTGCAACCCCAGACTTGGTTGATTCCTGCAGGTAGTGCGCCTCATCGTCGTTTACCATTCAATTAGCAAATAGCCCGAGAATACGTGGTCATAGATCGACCGAGAACGAGCAGACCAAGGTCCTATCCCAAACTTCGGGCCGAGCATGTTCGCAGCCTCGGCTCGGGGCCGGGCCCGCCCAGCCGAGCACAACTAGGAGACACGTCGAAATGGGCCAGTCTGCCGTGGCCAAAGAGCACCTTTTAAGTAAATAAAGTAAATAAGTTACCCGAGTACAAGCAAGCAGGGGGGCAACGGTGGAGAACCATTGAACACCACACCACCCAACATGGCTTCCACACTGAGCTTCTTCGACGCTGTGCGAAACCGCCGCAGCATCTACAAGCTGGATGGCACATCGCCCATCTCAGATGGTAGGATCGAGGAAATTGTCCGTCAAGCGATCCAAGACGTGCCGTCTTCCTTCAACTCGCAGTCCACCCGCATTCTGGTGCTGCTCAAAGAGGACCATGAGAAGTTTTGGAACATTGTCATGGACTGCCTCAGGGCCATTGTTCCCAAGGAATCATGGCCCAAGACCGAGAATCGCATCTCTGGCTTCAGAGCGGCGTACGGTAGTGTAAGTGACCATCACCTGCAAACCTGGCTGCCCAGCAGTCCGCCTCCCTGTACCTCTTGCCTCCTCTTCCCGGTCTTTGGTTTTACTCTCGGCGCATGGGCTTACTCGACGTGTTCCGTTTTCAAGGTTCTGTTCTACGAGGATCCCGAGGTGATTCTCAAGCTACAGGAACAATACGCAATCTATGCCGACAGGTTCCCGCAATGGGCGGAACACACGAGCGGCATGCACCAGTATGCAATTTGGACCGCGCTGGAGGCCGAGGGCCTGGGCGTCAATCTCCAGCACTACAACCCGCTGCCGGACCAGCGCGCGGCCGAGGTTTGGAACGTGCCCCAGGCCTGGCAACTCAAGGCCCAGCTTGTCTTTGGAAGCTATGGGCCTGGAGTCCGCGAGAAACTGCCGGAGAAGTCACAGAAGCCTCTTGAGCAGCGCCTGTTTGTGTATGGACGATAGACCTGCCGTGTCCGCTTAGAAGCATCTGTAGTGAGCGTGGCGTGTAAAATGCGTCAAGAGGGAGGGGATTCATAAATTTAGCGGAACCGCCCATTCATAGATACGCCCATTCATACCAAGGCAATCGCATTACGCTTATAACATTATTCTCCCAAAGATGCGCTCTTTCGTAGACCTAATAGATGATATTTCGCATATAGTTCTATTTGACCTTAAGAAGTGGCATGTGCAGAATTATTGATAGAAGCAAGAAGTCAGAGGTGAGGTGTTAGTTCGAGGAGTCATACGTACCCAAGCCAAGCCTCAAGTTTAGAGATGGCTCATAGCTCAGGTCTTTTGGCAAAAAGTTTTCTATCGTCGTTACGGCCTGCGTCAAACTCTCCTCATGATCAAATATACCTTTGCATAGATAGCTTTAATTATTGTCTTACAACTACAGTATTTGCAACATCAAGGGCCGTTAGTGTTAAATGAACTCTACTAGGTATATCATGTTGACTACTCTTACTACTGTGTTATCTGGACTTTTGTCACATTTCATTTAGGACATGGGCATATACAGTCAAGACGGACAAGAGCTTACATCAATCCATTCAACTCGTTTAATCAATATCTTGTTTGCTGAAAGTGTGGTCATTGTATTGTCCAATTCTACACTACGATGGCCTGAGCCATGCCGCGGATATTGGGTGGATTGTTCACCAAACACCTTCCTATGCCGAGGCCTCGTTGGTCCTGAGGGCCTTGCCAATTCTAGACTTCATCTTGGGCTGAACATGCTTGCCAAACAGCTCCACGCCGCTGACAAACTCGTCAAACTGCAACATGACACCCTTGACGCCATCCACACCGGCAATCTCATCTAGGAGCCCGGCCACCTTGGTGTAACTTCCGACCAGCGTACCGCCGTTCAAGTTCACCAGGTGACTGGCATCAGCGCCCTCCTGGAAGTGCTGGGCCGTGCTCCTCGCGTCGGCCTTGACGTCCATCTTGGACTGCTTGTGCACCCAGGCCACGGCGGGCTTATCGAGGTTGTCACAGTAGAGCTTCCACTTGGCCTCAGCCTTCTCATCTGTTTCGTCCATGATGAGCATGAAGAGGACCTGAGTACGTAGACCGGTTAGCTGTTGTAATAGTGTCGATCCATGCACTAGAGCCTTTCTAAACTGGCAAGTAGGGATCCGGTTGCGGACCTAAGGGGGGAGGCTTTGAGAACTTACCATGGCTCCTACGTCGCGGTTAGCCGTCTTGGCAGCCTGAATCAGGCGCTCATTGTTTTCGGTGAAGGCTGTGGGCGTGTTGATTCCCTTGCCGTTGATGAAATTGTAGTCACACAGCTCGGCAGCAAAACGGATACCGCGGTCGCTCTGACCAGCCGTGATAACCTTGATGTCCGTCTCGGGTTTGGGGAGGAGCTGGCAGTCCTTCATCTTGAAATGTTTGCCATCAAAGTCGCACTTGCCATCTCTCCATAGAGTCCTCATGATCTGCGCATACTCATCGGCGTAGTCGTAACGGTAGCCGAAGAAAGCGTCGCCCGGCCAAAGGCCCATCTGTGAGAACTCTGCGCTCTGCCAGCCAGTGACCATGTTGACGCCGAAGCGGCCCTTGTACTCGTCGCTCTCGGCGGTCGCGTTGGCAATATTGTCAATGGTGACGGCCATGCGAGCAGCGACGGCCGGTGGGAGGGCGAGGACGGCCGTGGACGCCCACAGCTTCATTCGCTTCGTGCAAGCAGCCACCGCGGCCATGAGAGTGAAGGACTCGAGGTTGTAGTCCCAGTGCTCGGTGTCGCCACCGAAGCCGCGGAACTTGATCATGGAAAGTGCAAAGTCGAATCCATAAGACTCGGCCAGTTGAGCGACGGTGCGGTTGAGTTCAAAGCTGGGCTTGTAGTGGGGAGCCGCGTTGGAGATCAGCCAGCCATCGTTTCCCTGCACATGTCAGCCTCCCAAAGAAAGATGAACAGTCGCTGCGGATCTCAGGGACCTACAATGGGCAGGAAAATGCCAATATCCAGTGTCCTAACTTCAGACATTGTTCTTCTTTCGATTATATGCAAGGTATAGTCACAGTGTTGTTTCGGATCTCAAAACTACTAAGCAGTGAAGCAGATCAGAAGCACTTGGGGGATGACTGATTGGCGTTAGTGAAGTGTTGTTTCTGCAAGTCACTTATAGACTTGCTCCCCGTCGTTTTTCAACGCCGCATCTGTTCGCAACGCGAGATCTTTTTTCGCCCCGTACATCCCGTGGAATAATGGTCCATGATGCAAAGCCACCCAACTAATCTAAACTGCAAAGGGAAACCGAGAGCACTGGCCGGGCCGAGCTTTGGCTCATGGATGGCTAATGTAGATTCTACCCCACCCCGAGAACTACTTTGACCATCTCGCTCGCCGAACAATCAAGTTGCCACAGGCTCCAAGATATGCCCCCGTTCCAACATCGGCCACCTAAAACGCCCAAAACAACGTTAAGTCGTAAAATCTTCAAAGCCTCGTGATTCCTTACCCCAGGTTTTACCCCGCAACTGCATGACCCAGGGAACGGGGCAAACTTGGGGTGAGAAGATCACGAGCTGTGGAAGATTGTAGCCAACTTAGTATAGGGCAATTTGAAACTGTAGACGGCATCGATAAGCACCCACGGCTAAAGGCAGAGACGCAATCATTATTACTCATCTATCGCTTCACAGATCTTTCACAACATACATCATCTGCCTTGGTCAAAAAAGCCCTAGCGGTCAAGTCCATAGCAGTTTCTTACAAAGCAGCTGGCACGCGGGTCGAACTCATACTTCTCGCGTATTGTAGCAGTAGACAATCACATGTTAGAGCCATCGCGCTGCTCAACATTAGACATAGAGGGTAGGTCAACATTTTGTTAATAATGCAGTGTCGGAAGATAGGCTCAATTGGTGTCTTGTAATCACTGATGTAATAGTATCAACAATTCTGCATAATCCAGCGCGAGTTCTGCCTTTCGTAGCGGTCCAAGGTTCCCAGACCAATGCACACGCCTCTACAGCCATTATTGATACGTAAAACGACTTTCAATATAAGCTTGATTACTTTATGAACCCGCGTTTTGTGTGTGTCGGTAGGAATAGTACCAGTCATCTCTTGCCAGATCAGCGCGCACTTGATAACAATTTTCGGCCTCCTCCACGGCGCCCATATCCAATTCGGCCACGACCATACCCTCAGTGCTGCCGAGGCGTGCGACGGGGCCCGCGAAGGGAACGCATATCTGAGAGCCTCCAGCATAATCCCAACCAGGGGGGCCGCCAGCGTTCGAGAAGATGATGGCTGCAAGAGAAAATTATGAGTATCCACGCCATCACACACAAGTATTCAGGCCCTAGACTCACCACAGGTATTTTCAAAACATCTTGCCGTCAACACAGCGTCGAGAAAAGTCCTCTCTGCGGTGGGGTTGATTTTCCGCCCAGCATCGGTGGTATCGGACAGCAGCCAGAAAGCCGGAGCAACAATGATCTTGGCTCCTTGCGCGATCATTTCGCGTGAGGCTTCTGGAAAACCTATATCCCAGCAGATCATGATGCCGACCTTGCCCAGGGGCGTGTCAAACACCGGGTGAGGATCCTTTGCACTGCTTGTTAGGTGATCACGCTCGATCGCACCCCAGAGGTTCTTCTTCACATACTTTCCCACGACCTTGCCCTCGTTAGTGATGAAGTAGCTGACATTGAGGAGCCTCTGTGAGGCCGTGCCTGCATCGTGTAGCTCAACGATGGTGCCAGGTACAATGTTGATGCCACACTCCTTGGCTAGCGCTCTGTATCCTTCAAGGTACTTCTCCCAATCGGCGCAGGCGGTCTTAAAACCTGGGTCTTGGGGCACCCATCCTAAGAGATGATATTCGGGAAGAACAGCCAGTGTGGCGCCTAAAGCCGCTGCCTCGCGAATGAAACGTGATGCCTTCTCAAAATTGGCTTCTATTTTCATGGGCTGTTACGCAAAAATCAGTCAACCCATCACGGACAAGCAGGGAGAAGAATAGGATATGGATTTGCTCAGACTCACTTCAGGATGCATCTGAATCGACGCGACCTTGTATATCGGGGCCCCCGAAGTGGTGGATACTGCCATTTTTGCAAACTAGAAGCAAGGAGGAAGAACCTGCAATATTCTGACGTCAGGTCAGAAGATGGAGGTAGCTGTTGCAAAAGAATCTATCACCAGCCTACGGGGTTCGATTGGAAATCATCTATCCGGCGTGGTGAGATGCTGGCGCTTCAGAAATTGAAGGCAATAAATACCAAAATCGGCGCTACTAAGCGCTAACTAGGAATCTGCCTGACACTGTATGAATCCTGACTGCTTAGTTCGCCCCGAGCCTGGGAAAGAATGCAACATACAGGTGGATCACGAACTCGCGTGCAGTTTGCCGTAGCCACCTGTACTCTTACGGCATGTGTGTGACTTGGAACTCATAGTACGCAAGGTATGTTTATTTCTGGGAATCAATTTTTCTCTATCACTCTCACATAAGAAAATTCCGGTTCCCTTCTTACGGCACTCTTCCGAGTTTAACCAGCGCTATCTATATCCCCTTCTCACCCTTCTTAACACCAATGCCCTCGTACCTTACAGAAGATGGCATATTAGCACAGTAACAAAATGAATGAGTAGCGAGAATGACAAGGCGATCTACCACTTACCAAACTTCGGGGTGCTCCTTGATGTAGGTCTGCAGGGTGTTTATGCACTCGGGGTCATCTAACTCTACCACCTCGATGCCTTTGGACGCCATGTAGTCGTTGCCGCCTCTGTAAGTCTTGCTTTCGCCAATGACCACCCGTCCAAGTTTGAAAAAGATGGCGCAGCCCGCGCAGATGTCACAGCAGGAGAGGGTAGTGTAGAGCGTTCCACCAATGTACGCAGTCGTATCCACGTGGTTCGCATCTTCGAATGCGGAGACCTCGGCCTATGACCAAGGGGGTAAGCTCAACAGAACCGGCTCGCTAATGCTGGTTGCGATAAGCACGAGATTATACGTACATGCAGGCAAGGACTGTTCTTTTGGACTTTCTGGTTGTGTCCCCGTCCGAGAATCGTGCCGTCCTTGGCCACCAGGCAGGCACCAATGGGGGCACCACCCTCGGCGAGGGACTTGTGCATTTCCTCGCGGGCAATGAGAAAGCCGGGCTCTGAATCAGCCATTGTAGCAGTTTAAGGGGCGTAGCGCGGAGACAAAGAAGGATGTGTACTGTGGGACAAGGGCGGATGTTGGTTTCTATCTCCAAAGACAGGGGAAGACTGAAATGCAATATCAGTTATTTATCTATTGTGGCTAGCTCCATATCCCTCGTCCAAGCCTCTCGGAACTGAGTGCCTGCACGTTAAGTTATTGGGTCCACTTATCATGCTTGGAAGAACCAGTTATCTTCACCGAGCTCTTACTGTTTCCCTATTGAGAAAGCCTGTGGGGAGCGGGGGCACTGGTCCCATATACCCCAGTCTCTCTCGCGCCGAGATGGCGACTGTATATTATGGATATCTCCAACTGTCTATGCCAAGTAGTAGTTGGCGGTCAAGCTCTTCAAACTACCCCGTATAGCCTAGGTAGGTACTTGATTCTTCTCCGAATCTTTGGTTCAGTTTTTTCAATGTACCTAAAGTGCCTACGTTGTCCGCACACTGCAGATAGTGGTCAAAACGAGGAACAGACTTTCCGCTTCAAACTTTGTCATTGGTTGTGATAAGCATAAACTACTCACAAATCAAAAGGCGTGCATAATTCTGTGAGTATAATATGTCCAAATATTGGAACTATGAGATATCTTTCCAATCTAAATAGAAGATGCAGTGTATCAAAAATATCATTATACTCGGCCAATTGTCAGTACAGGGTAAGAGGTACTTCTGTGGATGATGTGGGGCTGGCCGAAGCTTGGAGCAACACTAAAACAAGTCTGGTGGGGCTCTCTAGCGTCGGTCACATGATTATATTATTGGTCTGGGGCACGTCGCATCATCGACGACATCTGCGCACCGGAACCTTGCGAATATCGTCTCAGCGGACGATGAGCAGCTACCCCCATGTCTCTTGTTACCAAGCTCCCGCCTTCACCCGGGCGCCGATGCGGCAATATAACGCGGTCCCGGAACGGATGCACCGAGTGTCGCAAGCGGCGCAGGAAATGCGACGAGCAGAAGCCCACCTGCGGGCTGTGCTCCATCTACCATAGGGGATGCTGGTACGCCGTCGAGCTGAATTGGGGTGGCCGTGAGTTCAAGAAGTCGCGCTTCGGGCAATGTCTCGACGTGAATAGGGGCGAGGCAGCCCATAAGATTTGTGAGAGACGCTCGATGCTCTCCGAGTTCCATCCGCGTGGCATGACTGACAAGACCAGATACCAATGGGAATGACTTTGTCTATGGAAGGAGGGTATCCGTGTATCCATTGACTTTGCCATTTGATCCGACGCCGCGTCACTTGCTGAATGGACAGCCAATTCCCCACAGATACCGGAGATTGCTTGATTACTTCATCAAAGACGTGCTCGCGTCCATCTCGTGCGATACGCCGATCCACCAGACCCTACGCGGCACCCTCGTGCCTAGCATGCTTGACTTGCCGCACGTGTTTTCGGCCGCGCTGACGGTGGCAGTCGCTGGCCTCTCTGCTAGGGGCTTGACCCATCTGGATGGTACGAGCGTCGATGTCGTCGGAGAGCATTTGAGGACATCCAGTCTTTCACAGCTGCGCATTGCGCTCGAGAAGCGATACAACGATGAGTTCATGTTGGCTGCAAGCTTGCTGCTCTGTCTTGCAGACTTGTACGCTGGCCGAGAAGGGATGGATTCGTGGCGGGTCCACCTTAGAGGGGCTGAGGCCTTCGTTACAAGCCTTGGAGATGAGTCTGCCCTCGTAGCTAGCAGCTCACAACTCCCTGTCGGCTACTTGTGCTCTTTATATTCAAGTATAGGGACATTGGCCAACGTTGTATGCACAGATCACATGGCAGTGCTATCGCCTGTGCAAATATTCGGGACTAGGCTGGATGAGAAGGGGGGTCTAATACACGCTGTAGATCTTGAGCGATTCCTTGGGTATAATCTGGAGGTTCTCGAGATACTGCAGCACATAGACCTTATATCCAGAGCCAGACGCGATACCGATATTAAGACTGAGCTGGAGCCAGATGCTGTACGCCAAAGACTGGAGCACCTCATTGCACAGGATAGCTCGGCATGTCCGTCGTTGTCGACGCCCTCATATGCTTCCCGAGATGTCTTGCCTTCTCCAATATCTCGAGCTGCAGAGTCGCACGATCTCCAGGTTTGCCGACGCATGTTCCAGCAGGCAACCTTGATACAACTATACCGTCGGCTTTACGATCTGCCTTCAATCTCGACAGTGATTCAATCTGCCGTGGAGTCTATTATCCAACTAATCATGTCCATGACACAGGGGCAGTACTACAGTACCTGGGTCGTGATACTCATGCCTTTGTTCACCGCAGGTTGCGAAGCAGTATTCAGGCGACAAAAAGTCTTCATACTCGACCAAATGCAGAGACTCCAATTCTGTCTCGGCTCACTCCATGTAGATCATGCGAGAAAGGCTTTGGAGCAGGTTTGGAACGTAAGAGCAGAAAAGGGGGACGCATCTGGCAAGCTCAGTGCCATAGACATCCTCCGTGAGTGAAACATTTACCCCCTCGTCCTATCTAGATTGGCCATGTTGATTTACTAATTGAGAAATAAACAGGCGACCGGGGGACTAGTCTTGTACTGTTCTAGAGATATTGTTAGGCTTTGGACGCTCACAAAAATCCTATTTATACATAGGTAGTTATGTATAGAAATTATGAATGTTCTCATTTTTATTAGACCGACGTCATTAAGGTGTGATCGGCAATTCTATTTGGTAATTGATACAACTTATAGATTTACACAACGTCGAATGTTTCACAAGGGCGTACCTAAACCAAGTTCTAACTGTAGTAGATTAAACCTGAGTTTCGTCTTCTTAACAGCTAGGCTATCTCAGAAATCTGCATTGTTTAGTTGGCTTGCTTACGCAGGAACTTTTCAGCAATCTCCTCATATGTGACGAACTCTACCTCGTCTCCAAAGGACTGTAACCACTTGATGAACCGCTCCACCATGCCAATGACGTGTGCCATCCCACTCACGTCCGGATGGTTCACGATGCAAAAGACCTTGGTCTCCTCATCACCCTCGGCAATCTCACGCCTGAGCCACTCAAATCGGTCTCGCCACTGGCGTTCGACGACGGCGACGTCGACGTACCCAAAGGAGTTGGGGACATTGGGGAAGTACTGCAGCGGGGTCATGTCGTCCATGTACCAGTTGATGGGGATCTCAACCAAGGTGGACTTGGGGTGCGCGGCGAAGCTTGGGGAGGGCTTCATCCACGTCTCGGCCTTGACCTCGGGGTCGAAGTCGATGGGTTGGATAGCGGCCATGTTCTTGGGCAGGAAGTACGGGCTGCTGTCGTTGTGTGTGAGCGACGAGTCCCACAGGAAGTTGTGCTCCTGGAGCAGGTTGATGGTGCGCTCCTCGAGTTTGCAGAAGGGGGCGCGGTAACCCCGCGGCTTCTTGCCAGTCAGACCCTCGCAGAGCTGGATGCACCGGAGCAGGACGTCGCGTTCCTGCTCAGCAGTCATCTGGCTCGATGCCTCGTGGGCGTAACCGTGCAGGGCAATTTCGGCGCCGGTCTCGACGATAGCCCTGGTCTCCTCGGGGAAGGTCTCAATGGAGTGGCCAGGCAGGCACCATGTGACCTTGTTCTCGATACCAAGCCCTCGGAGAACCTTGAGCAGCCTCGGCACGCCGACATGAGCACTGAAATAGCCCTGGCTGTAGTCGGCCATGTTGTTGTCCGGATGCTTGCCAGTGCCGAGCCAGCCTGACAGAGCGTCGAAGTCGAAACTCCACGCGATTTGGATCTTGTTGCGAGGCATGGCGTGTTAAGGGGAGGCCTGGTGTGGGAATACAATATTCAGGGTGAAATTGGGTATTAGATTTGAAGAATCTTAGTATGAGGCGGAGTTGTGGAGAGCACACAAGATCCAAACTGTCGAGGGAGAGACGGTAAAAAATGCAGATGATTGTAATGAGTGCTCTAGAATATACATTTATGTCTCGTAATCATCGAGTTGAGTTATCGGGCCCTTGCAGCTTTCATTGCTGTTGAACTTTGTTCTCTTTCTCCTACGTACATTTAGGTCTCCAATCTCCTTGTCTAGTTAGGAATCAGGAAGCCACCGAGCGGACTGACATTCTCCTTTGAGACAAGCGTTTGCATGGTGGCTCCGGGGGGCCCGAGTTAGAAGAGGATAAGAGGGTCCGCTATTACGCTGGATCTGATAGGTTTCTAATGCTGCTACGAATGCAGGGAAACTTCGGCGCGAGAAAACTAGTGCGTACTGCTCTGTACATACGCGCAAGTCCGGTGGCGAATATTCTGCATTGAGCTACCTAGATGGCTATGTGCATGCGGGGTATATACGTACTAAGGCTTGGGCGAACTCGTGCTTGGGCCAAGGGCGAGACTACCCACACTTACACCGTCAACAACTCCAAGTAGTTATACCCAACTCCCAACTGGACTAGTTTGACTGGTAGCGTTACGCCGAGTGCCCCAGACGTTCTCACATATTGCAGGGGTACCCCGCAAGATAGGAGCGAGAACCCCAGGAGTCCCCTATCTTATGTCTTGTTATCAGTACATGCGGAGGAGAAAGAGGCATAGCAGCACCATGCAGCCAATCTTGGCATAAAGTTGAGGCCGGCCCACTGTTGATATGCTGGTTGCTGAAAGTAAGATTATGAGTGTCGTTAAGTACTGCTACTGATATCAGTAATCCTGGTTTGTTCAAGATTCATCACCTACAAAAGGCAGAAGATCCCCGGCCTTCTCAACTTTCTTTAGGCCTGAAGTCGTGCTTACTCTTCTCAACTCTTAATCTTCTCAACTCTTACTCTTCTCAGCTGCTTCTCATTCTATTTCTATATTCCTCAGCCTATAGGCCTTGCATACAATGAAGACCAAGGACGTCGAGACTGACCCAGCCGCAGGCTCTGAGATTGATGGCCAGGTGGAGGTTAGAGAACTCCGCCGCAACTTCAATTTCTGGAGTTTATGTGGAGTTGGCCTGATGACTGGCAGTACATGGCCATCTTTGGGTGGGAGTATTGTACGTCCACAATAAGCCTTGATGAGCCTCTCTCTTATGACACGAAACAATTTGCTCACACAAGTCTCAGGCTGTCGTTATTTATAATGGGGGTGCACCAGGTGCAATCTATGAACTGTGCGTGGCAAATACTCCTTGCTTCGAGTTTTGCATAACCACACTCTCTAACGTCTTGTTCATAGTATCGCCGTTTCCTGCTTCTACTGGATGATCGCTGCTTGCATTGCGGAGTTATCCTCGGCGATCCCATCGTCAGCCGGAGGTATGCATTCTTCCAGCTTGACACAAGGCAGAGCCAAGGCGCTGATCATGTCTAGTTTACCATTTTGCCTTTGTTGCCAGCGGCCCCAAGCATGGCCGTGCGGCCAGTTGGTTCGCAGGGTACTTCAACGGTCTTGCGTGGACTTTTGGCGCGGCCAGTGTTAGTTCCGTTGTTGCCAATCAGATCCTTGCTCTGTATCAACTGTTCCATCCAAGCTACGAGGAGCAGAGATGGCACCTATTTATCATATACCTTGGGTTCATCTGGATCAGCTGCACCATAGTTCTCTTTGGCAACCGTATCCTCCCTATCATGGGCGATCTTGGAGCTTCCCTTATTATCATTGGGTTCCTCATCATCGTCATCACTTGTGCCGCCATGCCCAATCGTGCCGGGGCTGGCTATGCTGACAGTAGCTTTGTGTGGAGCGACTGGGTGAACCTCACTGGCTACAGCTCCGACGCGTTCGTCTTCATGATGGGCATGCTCAACGCTGCGTACGCCGTTGGCACGCCTGACGTTGTCACCCATCTCGCCGAGGAGATTCCCGAGCCACAGAAGAACATTCCCAAAGCCATCGGCATCCAGATGGTAATTGGCTTCGTCACCGCCTTTATCTTCCTGATCACAACCTTCTACGCAGTTCACGAACCCAGCGATCTGTTCTCCCCGACATCCTCGCTCTTCCCCATGGTAGACGTCTTCATTCAGGCTACTGGGACCAAAGCAGGTGCTCTGGGACTTGTTATTGTCATGATTGCCCCAGCTTTGTTCATGAGCGTGGGCGGCTTCCTTACCGCTTCCCGCATCGTTTACACCATGGCTCGAGATCACGGCACTCCCTTCAGCGCCACCATGGCCCAGATCCATCCACGCTGGGAAAACCCCTTCGCAGCGACGCTCTGCTGTGCCATCCTCTCGACGCTGATGGGTTTCATCTATCTCGGCTCGTCGACCGCCTTCTACGCCTTTGTCGGCTGCTTCGTCAACCTCACTATACTGTCATACTTCGGCGCCATTTTCCCCTACCTCATTACGGGCCGCAAGTACGTCACACGGGGCTGGTTCCGCATGCCTAATTACCTGTTCGTCCCCTTGGCGACCCTGTCATGCCTATACGTTGTCACATTTTTCGTCATCTTCTGCTTTCCGCCAGCTCTGCCAGTCGATGCCGTCAATATGAACTATACAAGCGTCATGATTGCTGGCCTTTCGGCTCTAATGGGGATCTACTGGTTTCTCAAGGCTCGTTATCAGTACAAAGGGCCAGATGATGAACTGCTCCAGCGGCTTACAGGTGGTAACGTCCACGTCCACGCTGCTCCGGAAGAGGCCATCTTTTCTGATGGAAAGGCAGAGGGGGAGCACAGTTCGGCGTAGCTGTGAATGGGAGCAGAGCGTGCGGGAGGTACTTCTTGCCATTATTGGAAGTGCATGCCACTATGCAGCTGCTGCATATCAAGGCAAGTTTCACCGAGGTTTGTTTTCCTACATGATCGGTGGTAGGCTGGGTTCCTAAACTGCGGGATGGAATGCAGCCTGGAACTCGTAGCTCGGAATTTACTCTGTAGTGAGGTATTCAATGTGCCGCTATATTTTTGAATCGAAATTCTTTTTTCATGCCCAGATCTGGTTCTAGGTTCTTTTTCTTCCGCATTTTCTGCTGCTATCCGTGAATCGTATAATAGACTTGAGGAGTTTCCACAAGCCCATGCGTCCTATTCGGCCTTATGAATGTTGTGATCCTGTGACCAAGTTTACCTACTGTCGCTTGAGGGAAATTGACATGTCTCGGCCTGTCCACTGTTTGGCAAGCCTGGAGGCTATGTGGTAGTCATTGATAAGGGAAGAGCTTTCGGTTTGTTTGAGCCCGCATATCTTATTATGCATGGCAGGATCAAGGACAGCCTTCGCCTACTTCGGCTAAGCAGGTCAGTGCGGTCTCGAGACCAATACCTTGGTAACAAATGATGGAAGCCAGAAAGATTTCTGTTTGTATGAGGCAGCGACTTGGTCGCATGTTCTCTTTCTGTTGCACTGAGGCTTAACTGCCTATACTTGAAGAAAATGTGGTGGGAAAAGTCTCCTAGTAGGAAGCCTGCCACCTGCTACCACTCTGGGCGATATGGAATGATTTTGTTTGAAAAATTGGCAATCGTACGATCCCCAGCCTTCAATTTCGGCTGGAATGAGCCAGAAGGAGGTCAAGATACGAGGTTTACCAGTCCCCGAGAAACAAGGGCCGATTACACATAAGAACTCGCTTTGACATCTTCGGCGCGAGAAAAAAAAACACGCTCGCCGAAGAAGCCATGACCGAAATGAGTCCAAATTAATGTCCCCTATTCTCCACCCCGAGCGAGAAAGTAACTGGGTTTTCACACAAAACTGTGGCGTGTGAGTAACAAGTTTAACGTCTTCGGCATGAGAACAGATCTCATCTGTGCAGCCGGCTAGTTTCCCTTTGCAAGGGTTGAATATGAGTAAGGAGGCAAAATGCAGGGTATTGGACGCCCAACCAATTTCGAAGTACTATATCGGCTGTCGTGACTGTTCGTATTTACAGGGAAATAGCAATAGTGCCCATAGAAGTACATTTATTAATCCAGAGTTCAGCCCTGTACCGCAGTAAGAAATACACCAATAGGCTTTTTTTTACTTAGTTGCGAGGGCCCATGTTGCACAATTTTGTCGAAACGACCACTGGAAACGGCCACTGAAAACGGCTCTGAAATTGTGTTGAGATGCTGGGTCTAGCATCTTCCATTGTTGTCTTTAACATGTGCGAGTCAAACTACCTACTTAAATAAAGATCCATGCGCTCAGACTAGTTGAGAAAGATGGTGGCATTATAATAGATGTGGCTCGGAGCAAGACGAATGGATTTTAAAATATCTTCTGAGCGATCTCCGTACATTGGAAACCAAGTTTTTATGCTACAGATATCCATGAGGTCCTCATTGCATAGGATTAAAGACACGCTATATGTCCACCTACGTTCACAATGCTGTAATAGGACTAAAACAAATTACACCTCTGTCTCAACATATTACAGCTATTGAGATATAGAAAGAAAAAGAAAATGTACAGAAGGCCTTTGGCACATCAATGTTGCCCAAAGGTCTTGTTTTCGACATGAGGCTTCTTAGTTATCTATCGATAAATTTGGATGTCAGCCTGACTCTACAGCAATCTGTCCTTTTCGAGCCGGAATAAATCACCCCAGTAATCTGTGTGTTTGGATATGTACACAAGAATTGATTAAATTCACTCAGAAGCAAAAGACCTGATCTTCAAGTTTACTGACAGGCCGAGGGGAAGCAAAGCCTAGGCTTTCAGCGATCTTCTTCATTGCCGATACCATAGGCGGAGGACCGCAGATGAGTAATTTGACATCGTCTGCGGGCGTGGCTAAATTTTGCTACTCGTGCCATTGTGTTAGCAACCTGAAACTAGAAACTTTGTTGCCGGGACTGCTGTGTTTAGTCACCTTCACCATGTCTTGGTTGACGAATCCAACCCCGCCAGCCCATCCGGGAGGGGGTTTGTTAAGAACATAGTAGACGCTGAAGTTGCCATCTTTGCGAGCTAGATCATTCAGCTCGTCCTGCAGCAGAATGTCCTCGGGCCCGACGTTGGCGTAAATGAGGCTGACCTTGGTTTTATCGCCATTGGCGCGACCCCTAACAATGCTCCGCGCAATCTGATACATGGGGGTGATACCTGTGCCGCCGGCAATCATGCTGATCTCACGAACCATGTTTGGTGTGTACCGGAATGCCCCTTTGGGACCTCGGAACTTGATGGTCTGCCCAACAGCTAGTTGGCCAACGTATTTGGAAACGTTGCCGCTGGGGTAAGACTTGATGATTAGATCGACATGACCAGGGCTTGTGTCGTCCGACACTGGAGTGTAACTTCGCAGTATGTCCTTCGGTGGGCTGCCGATGGGAGCCGCCACAGATACATGCTGGCCGATGGGGATGCCGAGTACGTCGGTCGGTTGTGGCAAGTCGAACCGATAGCTTCGAGCATCGTCAGCATCAATACGTAACGGGAAGCCTCAAAGGGATAAAGCTAATGGCCTTAAAGTTCCATGGTGGTGTTGCATGACTTACAGGGCTGTGTTAGGCGACAGCTGCGTCTTATGGGAAAGGCTGAGTTCTAGAAACGAATCTGGTCGCAGAACTGGCTTAGGTGCTATTGCCCTCGACCTTTCAGTAAATCACGAGTTGGCAATTATCGGGATGCATGACAATGACGCACTCTTGGCTTTTAGGATACTGAAAAGGACGGTAATGGCGGCACACAACAGTAAAATGCTAATAGAGAGCCCAAGTTCCCATGTTGAGGTACTGTTTAGGAGCGACATGTTGACAGGTGGCGGCGACAAGGCACAAAGAGGAAAGGAAAGAACAAAACAGTCGGGGTGGCAACTCTTGGATCAAGCATTGTGGTGAGATAACATGCCGCCTCGTACTTAATGACAGCGAGACGGCCGAGCCCCTTCCTATGAAAATGCGATATGGTTTGCCAGGGCTCGCCGCAAGTTCCGATGGGCTGACTGATCTTTCCTCCGGGCCCATTCCATCGACCCGTCTGAAGCATGGCTAGTTTCGGCGCCGAACTTGCTTCGCGCCGAGCACGGCCCTTCCGAGTTTGCACAGTTTTAACCGACTGATGCAGCGAGGAGCTTAAACTGGGTCGGTCGTGTAAATCAAGCAGTGAATACAATTGGCACGCTTCCTTGGAATAAAACCCATTCTTTGGGCATTTGCAAAGCCGCGTGTTCGTTCACAAAGCTAGCCCAACTTTGCCAGACAAATAGTCGACAACTGTTCTACTTCAACCTCTACTTGGATTTCTAATCCTGGCTGAACCCTGACCCTATTCGAGACTACTCAAACATCGCTCTCATCAGTCATCATGGCTTCCGTAAATGCCAGCGCCACCTTGGGTTCTTTCAACCTGCCCGCCCTCGTCAATGAGCCATTTGTATGTCAGACAGAACTAGAGGACTGTAACCGGACACGAGCTGATGCCATTGCTTGATCTAGATCTCTTATGGGCCCAAGTCTGCGGAGCGAGAGCACCTGGTCCAAGCTCTTGCTGAAATGAAGGAGCAAATGCCCTTTGAGGTACACCCCAACGTCAATGGCCAAGACGTGGCTGGGACATTGGATCAAAGCCAGCAAACGCCCTTCAATCACAGCAAGATGCTAGCCAAGTACTCGCATGCCTCGCCCGAGCTGGTTCGTCAGGCCATTGACGGTGCGCTCAACGCCAAGAAGCAGTGGTCAAGGACCTCGCTTCACGATCGAGCCGCCATCTTCCACCGAGCTGCAGCTTTGATCAGAGGACCTTACCGCTACCGGATGATGGCTGCTACTATAATTGGCCAAGGCAAAAATGCTTACCAGGCTGACATCGACTGCACTGCCGAGGTATGTGTCCCCTGCTCATCTCCTTTGATTCCTTTGATGCTGGTTAGATAGTATAGATCCTATTGCTGATCAATTTCTTTTAATAGTCCATCGACTTTCTTACAATATTCCCTACGCTTGCCGAGGGTCTATACAAAAATCAACCACCGTTCAATGCGCCTGGGGTGTGGAAGTAAGTAAGCGCCTCTCGGTTCTTTTTGAATCCACCATGCTGAGACCATTTCCTCTCCTAAAAGTCGATCAGAGATACGCCCACTGGACGGGTTTGTCTATGCTATTGCACCTTTCAATTTCACGGCTCTTGCTGTCAATCTAGTGTTGGCGCCCCTCATTGTGGGTAACGTTGTCGTCTGGAAGCCCAGCCCCGGTGCCGTTTACTCGAGCTGGCTTTTCAATCACATTATGATTGAAGCTGGTCTTCCTGCCGGCGTTGTGCAGTTCCTCCCCGGAGACGCCAAGGAGGTAACGGCCGAGGTACTCAAGAGCCCCGATTTCAGTAGCTTGCACTTCACTGGCAGCACTGCTGTGTTCCGCAGCCTCTCTTCAGCAATTTATTCCAAGATGGAGTTCTGGAAGTCCTATCCGAGGCTTGTAGGCGAGACTGGTAAGTTCAAATATATTCCACCGCCTTCTTTGTCGGGGCTCCTGGGTCTAATGTTGAAAACCATATAGGGGGTAAAAACTTCCACCTCATCCATCCCTCAGCTGACCTCAAGAATGCGGTTCTCAAGTCTGTCCGTGCTGCATTCGAATATCAGGGACAGAAATGTAGCGCCTTGTCTCGTATTTACATCCCAGCATCTCTAGCCGACGACTTCAAGAGACTGCTCGTCAAAGAGACCGAGGCTCTGACCATGGGTGAGCGCTTCACCGACTTCATTGGGCCAGTAATCAGTCGCACCGCATTTGACCGCATTGCCAACTACATCCAGGAAGCAAAGTACGCTCCTGAGACATCTCTCCTCGCTGGGGGGACTGTAGACGACTCCACAGGCTACTACATCCGGCCAACCATCATAGAGACATCAGACCCTCGATCAAGGTTCATGACAGAGGAGGTCTTTGGTCCTTTCTTGTGCCTCTATGTATACCAGGACAACGATTTTGGGGAGAAGTTGTTCAACCTAATAGACACCAGTACTCAGTATGCTCTTTCCGGAGCCGTGTTTGCCAAGGATCGTCAGGCCATTATTGAGGCAACAGACCAGTTAAGATTCTCTGCTGGAAACTTCTACATCAAGTGAGTTCTCCTCCTGTTCAACGCGATGAAACGCGCAGAAGATATCAAGCTGACCCGACTTGCTGGGACTAGTGATCAATGTACTGGCGCTATGCCTGGTCATCAACCCTTTGGCGGGTCGAGGGCGTCGGGAACCAACGATAAGGCAGGGTCTGCTGGACTCCTCTCGAGATTTGTATCGTCAAGGACTATCAAGGAGGGATTCACCACCATTGACAGCGTCCTGTACCCATCTAATCTGGATTAAGAGAATAAATCTACCTAGAATAAGACGAGCTTTTTGCTGAATCATTGGGACGGCTTTTATGGCGACCCAGGTGCCTCTGTGAGCGTGTAATGGAGACGGCTAGATTGTCAAATAACCCATTTCTTCACTTTAGCTCTATGAAAGTTAAGCCAGATAAATAATATAGAAGTCTTTGAATCTATCAAAAATGGGCCATACAAAAATCGACTTCAGAGAATTATTCCACTACAAGAGAGTTTATCCTCTGGGGGAGACGTATACGGAAGAGAAAGAGAATCAAGTTCAACAACAATCAAGCTGCCAGGGCCCGGAACAACTCAACACAGTGAATAGGAGGAGACGTATAACGAATGAGATTCCAGAATCAAGAGGATAAAGAAATATTCACTCCATGTTACTCACATATAGGTGAAGAGGCTAATTCCTTTTTAAAACATAGCGATGAGTGGTTGTAGGTTACAGGTGTCTGCGACGAGGTGCCTCTGCTTCTATACTTGTTATTCCTGTCAAAGATTTTTTCTATATCACTATAAGCGCATGGAGAATGCTTGCTAAGATGTATGCTCCTCGACATATGGCAGAGTGAGGGCCAAGTTGGGGATTTTGCAGTATTCCAAGTAATATATATATTGTGTGGCAGAGACTTGATAAAGTTTGTAGCTATATCAAGATCTTGGATTTGAGAATAGCTAGAACCTGAGTTTGTTACATAAAATATTTGTCATAGATGTGTGTTACAGCATTGCCTTCGGCGTGGGGGATAGTGGGACGCTTTTCGGGGCGAACATGGCCGATGAGCGGCTTTCGGCCTCAAAGAACCTAGGATTGCATTCCGAGGAAATGAAGACTGTTGATTCCGAGTTCAGACATTCCGGGAACTTCACTACCTGAGGCTAAGGGTATGAATACACTGACCTGGCCTTTGTATACGGGATTGTATAGAAAGCTCATCTTGGACAATTTTGAACCCGAATCAAATCATCAAGACGAGAAAAACACAGAGCTCTTTGTCTCATCTTGAGTTCTCTAGGATTGCCAACTATGTCGTCAATCATTGTGTACGTGGCCTTGGCCTGCACCATACTTGTGGTTTGCAGATGGATTGTCGCTTCAATCCAAGCTCGAAATCATCAAATTACGAAGCCGTCTGCAGTCGTCAAGAAGACTGACAAAGGTACCGTCTGATATTAATACCGCTGTCACTCGCTTAAGTTTGCTGATGGTCTTTATCGTCTGTATAGAACCTTCCTTTATTAATGTTGAACGCATCCAACCTTTCAAGCTCGATTTCGACTGGAAAACCCAAAAGCAAACGCCATATCGACCATGGAATAATGGGCCTCATCACGTTACAATGGGTATGATCTTAATATTTACGCCTCAGAGCATAATCTTTCTTCATGATACTGACATTTCGGCATCAGGGTTGAAGCAAACGGACGTGGAACATTGGATCGATCTGGACGAGACCTACTTAGACAAGTACAAATTAAAAAAGAAGCTTTATCGAGAGCACCGCGAGGAAGTTTTGGCGGTTCTCCCTGGCTGTGATGATGGAGCCTTTGAAGCTCTTGAGTTGCTCAAGAATACGTTGGTGCGAAGGTACCCAACCATGTTCCGTTTGCGTGAGGCTTGGATCATTGAGAACCTAGTCACTGGAGAGGTCTGGGACTTGCGTAGGGACGCGTCTACATGGGAAAAGTATCATCCCTTGGAAGTTATGGGCCTGCTTTCGACGGAGGACTTTTTCTTGCTCTACGTGGATGATGTATCTGGAGAGACCACACTGCGAGCAGGCGCTGTTTGCTTCCCAGGTAAGCGTTGACCAACATTCTTTTACTATCAGCTTCGATGAGCTCATAATAACTGAAAAACTTCCAGCGGGATTCAAAATTGAGGAACGGATCGGTTTAAGCCTCTGGGGTATCCACGCTGGCAAAGTTCCTCAATACGAGAACAAGCTGGCGAAGTCCATGGACCGCTTTTTCCAGCGTATCAAGGTCGAATCAGCTATCTCCCGATTCAACTACGCCATCGATGACTCTGATGAGCTCTTTCACCGACACTCTCATCACAATCTGACTCTGGAGCAACTCGAAACACCCCCTAAGCTCGAGGACCTCCACCTACGAGTAGAGAGGCAAGTTCTACAGCGCCTTCCGAAGACCAGAGCTTTACTATTCACTATCCGCACCTACGTCACGCCTATAGTGGAAGTAACAAAAGACAGGGAGGCTGCGCAGAGTCTTCGGACGAATGTGAACAGCTTCGGCGAAGACGTGGCCAAATACAAGAACAAGGTCTTATGGAATGATACTCTTCAACGTCATATTGCAAAGGTTCTAGGGGAAGAGTAGATAGGGGCGTTCCTGGTCAAGATTTGATTAGTGAGGACGGAAGTAGCTCGGAGAACCTGAAGTTAGTTGATAGGTATACAGTGAACAAAATATTGAAGAGTTATTGCACACATTTAGTGTCCGTGGTTGTTACCGGAAATATGATACTACGGCATATGTGGTATATCGAAATAACTTGCACATCTATAGCTCCAGGACATCTACCTACAAAGGTACTTACTTTTCTATCATCGAATTAGATTTGGAAAAATATAACATAACAACTTGGGTGCTTCAAGTATACAATCAAACTATAGTAAGGATCAATACATGCTGATGGTCAAGTTGTTCTCTATACTCCGCCGAGCCTAAGAACTCAATTTTTAATTGAAGAACGTATATCCACGCCCTTACAACTGATGGATTGGGGTAGTCAAAGCAACACTCCCGAACTTCGATCCAGAAACGGAAATCCATGATCAGTGTTGTTCATTGGTCGCGCATCCGAGACAGAACTCGCACCGGGATCCGACAGTCTCCACCTTCTCGGCGCGAGACAGCCAGTGCCCATGTTCGCACCGAGTGCCCGATGCCGGCAGTATCATACATCACAAACAGCCCAAATCTCTAGCGGTATCGGACTATTCATTACTTCCGTAGTCAAGCGTTTATCTAGGCCAGGGTGAGACGGGCTTGAATATCAAAAAGTAAAGCTGATTAGTTGTAGACATAAGATCATTTCTCCTTTTCTCCCACCATGTCTTCTAAATCAGTTCTTCTTCACCGGTCATTAGAAAAGACTTACCCGACCGCAGTCAGTGGCGATGGTGTGTATTTAGTCACATCGGATGGCAGGAAGATCCTTGACGGGAGCAGCGGTGCTGCAGTCTCCTGTTTAGGACACGGCCATCAGGAAGTCATCGACTCCATCTGCGAGCAAGCCCGGTCTATGTCCTTTGCCCACACATCCTTCTTTACCTCCGACCCAGCCGAGGAACTGGGCAAGCTTCTTCTCGAGAAGAGCGATGGCGCCTTTGACAAGGTCCTGTTCCTCACCTCCGGGTCCGAGGCTATAGAATCTGCGCTCAAGGTTGCACTGCAATATCACGTTTACAACGGGCAGTCTGAGAGAGTCAACATCATCGGCAGGATACACTCCTACCACGGCAACACCCTCGGGGCTTTGGCCGCTGGCTGCAACCCGGCGAGGCGTGATACCTTTGAGCCCGTGCTGGGCAAAACCTTCCACCACGTAAGCCGTTGCTTTTACTCGGCCGACGGTGCGGGGAAGTCCGAGAAGCAGTATGAGGACGATCTCATCGCAGAGTATGAGGCAAAATTCAAGCAGCTTGGCCCGGAAAATGTCGCCGCCGTCATCGTCGAACCCGTAGTCGGTGCTACGCTTGGGTCCGCCGCCGCTACGGATCGATACTTGCCGAGGCTAGTAGAGCTGTGTAAAAGGTATGGCGTTCTGACCATCTTCGACGAGGTCATGTGCGGCATGGGCCGTGTCGGAAGCTATCATGCGTGGCAGAGCCTGGGTAGTACTGCTCCAGACCTTCAGACCATAGGCAAGGGCCTGGGCGCTGGTTATCAGCCTCTCTCAGCCGTGCTCATAGGCAAGCGCGTATCGGATGGCTTTGACAAGGCATCTAGGCAAGGGGCTAAGGCATTCCTAAGCGGTCACACATTCCAGGGCCATGCAATGGCTTGCGCTGGTGCGCTGACAGCCCAGCGCATTCTGTTTCGGGATGCATTAGTGGCCAAGTGCAAACATCTCGGCGAGCTCCTTGAGGCTACCTTGTTCAATGAGCTTCCTGATGAGTGGGCGCAGAATGGAGGCAGCCTGCGCGGGCTGGGCTTGTTTCGAACTGTTGATCTAGGCGCTATGAGAAGCAAGTTCAAAGGACCCCTGGCTGGCGAGATTTCCCGGCGCTCATTTGGCCTGGGAGCGGCCGTCTATCTCTGCTCCCCCGCTGTCGATGCTGTTCTCTTATGCCCTCCGTTTATTGCGACCGAAGCTGAGATCCTAAGTCTAGCCCGTATATTTGTGCAAGCTCTGAATGACACTGTTAAAAGTCGTCGAGCGGATATTTTAGACACGATATAAGCTGAATAACAGAGGGTCAGGCAACAGGTGATTAAGTCTTATTGAGTATAATACTTTAGAAAGCAGATGCCGTCAACGTGATATGGGACCAAATAACCAACTCTGCTACAATGACCATAGACATGTGATTCTGTAGATGCTATTGTTGAATTCCAAATACAGCCTTTTTACTCTTCGACCACCTCTTTTCTATACGTGAGATTGTTGCTTTGCTTTGCTATGACCCCTGAGGCGATGGTATAGACCCTCAGCCATAACAGTTGGGGGCTCAACGGGCGACATAGGATCTTCTTTCTTCTTAGGTTTGGCAATATGATAGTCCTTCGGCGCTCTTGGAAGATCAGCGTCTTCAAAGATTCTTATTCGTGGTAAATGCTCTGTAATTTTGTACCAGAAGAAAGCAACGAGTCCAAGGACAAGGGAAAATGCGATAGACACGAAGACTAGGTCATCATCGTCTTCGTCAGTACCCGGCGAGTTCGAATATGAATATAGGGTCTGTTAAACTTACATATCACACAAAATGCCCAAGTAGGAGTTTGCTGGAATGAGGAAACATCCAGCGCGAATAAAGACGATAGAAAAGACAGAGGAAGCTGGGTAAGGTTAGTAGGTGAAGCGCCTTAGCTACCGTTAGATATCTATGTGCAGTAACTCACAAAAATAACCGCAGCAAAGGTGAAGGCCCTGATCATTTTCCCTTGTGCAGTGGCCAGAGTAGCTTGGTAGTTCGTAATCTCGCTTTGCTGCAGCAAAGTGAGTGAAAGGGTCGTGTTGACCTTTTTTGCACTCAATCATCAGCAAATGTTCAATACCAATTCATTAGTCGGACAAACTTACAGCTAAATCTATCCTCTCTGCGAGAACAACCATCTCTTTGATATCGTTGAGAACGGTTTCTGCTGAGAGATCTGCATCCTTGAACTCGCTGTCAAACAGCTTCCTTTGGACGGTTTTTTGGTATTGGGCGACTGATCTGAGAATATTCAGTTCATTGCGGACGCCCTTGATGCAGCGAAATAGTTCTTCTGCTTTTCCTCTAATTTCGTCGTACGATGAGGCCTCAGGTGAGATTCTTGACAAGGCCTCCTTTTGACGCCAGCCCTGTGTCTGCTGTCTGAATTCGTCAAACAGGGAAGTTTCTTGTCTTCCCTGCTAACCTGTTAATTATCTAGTGAAGCAGAATGGTTGGGCTGCAACTTACTAGCTGATTTATGTATTGGGAGAATACTTTTCCGATGGATATTAACCCCACAGGCTTTGGTTGTCTCTCATATGAACCGATACAATAGTCAACAACCAATTTGCTCATATCAGCCGCAGACTTCGGCTGGGAGCTGCTTCCTCCAGATGCTGTTTGCTTTCTAAACTGGTTTAGAATTCCTTCCACTAGCGTATCATGTTCATCGTCAAAAACAACCGAGGTTGCGGTTATTAACCACTCTAGAAGTAGGTATAATTAGCATGGTATTGTGAAATTGGGAAGAAAATAAACGAACTATTGGCGATAGTCCAGACCCAAAGTTGGTTGACGCGTAGGAATGTACTTGAGCTGAGGTCATCGGAATATTTCTTATTCTCATCTGAAGGCATAGTGCCGTTTGTGTTTTGATTGAGTCTTTTGACTCCTTCCAAGAACTTGGAAACTACCTGATCTTTGTTGCGATGATCTTTGTCTATATGAGAGTCAGGTCCAAAATGGTAGTACCACTCGTCGAGGGTTGGCGATCCATGAATAACCGAGTCTTTGTAGATATTTAGCAATTCGCGGTGCTTCTGTTGCTCCTGTTTGAACTTGACTAGATTGGCATCTATTGGTGAGAAGCAAAGATAAGGCATCTATAATCACGGATTAGAACAAAACATTTAAACCAAGCCTGTATACTTGCATAGATGGCTGATGCGGGCACAGAGACATGTTTCTCCTCATCGAACCAATTTGTGTTGAAACGTCCATCTGTCTCTGCTTCCACCGACTCTTCCTTTTGACACCGATTGTCCTTTTGGCTTTTTTTCTCATCATCTTTGCTGTTACATGTTACACCTTTGGTAAGAGCTGCAGTTTTTGGCTCGTCGTACTGCTTCATGACGGTTCGCGGCCTCATAAATCTTGATGGAGATGTTTCATCTGGCACTTGTCCCCAACTGTTGCGAAAAAATGAGTTAACTTCGTGGTAATGGCGAGGCCTGTAATCCTCGTCTTTCATAATTCTGGTCAAGAGATCCTGAATATACATCAGTATGTGCAGTGTGCTACTTTAACGCATTGATGGCACAGGTAACCTGGCTATATGCTCACATTCATCCAGTTGATCTACACCAAAGTCAGTCATATCCGCTAAGAATAATGAAAGGAGTTACACACGTTTGTCGATGGTAAATGAATCCATGTAAATGCAGGCTTGGTCTCAAGGCCTATACTATGGCCTGGAAATAGGGAGTCCCCACCAGTGATATTGGCCAGTTCCTTCACGGCCGTTGTCATGATTTCCTGGGGCCCCTTATCATAAATTACTTCTTTTAGTTGACGATATCTTCGGATAGTCCCGGACTCGATTTCGCTCTTGTAGAATTGCACAATGGGGACCTCGAACCTTTCCAACAGGTCCTTGGCTTCCGCCTTGGGCAGTGGTAACCTATATTGTTGTTTATGATGGTGCATCAGGGGATAGGGAGGCTCTCGTAGAATATCCTCAATGGTCTGCAAGTATGTTGATTGATTGCTCTTTGTCTTCGGCTCTTGCTGCGCGCCGTAGCTAGCCTGACCTTTGTTGGTTCCAATCGGGACTGGACCCTGTGTTTGGCTATTCAACTTTTGCACTGAGTTGAGGGCGTTGCGGATATCATTTTCAATTTCAGAATCACGAGCACAGGCAGAAATGAGCAACCACAGCACCTTGAAAAACTGCGCACCCTCTGGCTCATCAGGTAGTTTTTCCGTAGACTGTGGGACCAAAGACTTCAACGCCGATTTCAGTGCGTTGGAGATATCTCCAGTCTGAGGAGAGGTTGAAACGAGTAGTGCAAGGACATTCGTGTTTCGTTCATGTGCCGCCCACCCGATTGCGTTCCGGTTGATGGGTGCAGGGGGCTGGGATGCCTTCAGCTTCTTTTCAAAAAGCAATTGTGCAATGTCATGAGTCTTGGAGTTTCCTGCAGCCCACTCAACCGCTTCCTTCCACACGTCGTCAACCCCAAAATCAGCCTTTTCAAGCTCGCTCCATTTCAGCAGGATTCTCATGACAGTTTCGTTTGGAGGTTTATCCCCGTATCCTTTGAAAGCTAAATAGAGTGCGGTCCGGCCGTCCTTGTTTCGAGCCGACAAGTTGGCAGCCCCAGCGTTCAGCAGGAGCTGAACTACGGCACCATGCCGATCTGCTGGCAAGTCGATAAACTTAGAATTGTGTCTGTCCTCGTCGGTAAGGTCGTCAAATCCCCACTCGTCATCCCTGACGCCGCTCGCACGATGTAGCGCTGTGTCACCATCTATGTCTTGGGCACTGAGATCCGCACCAGCATCAATCAACCGACGTACACCACCCACGAAGCCTTCCAAACTTGTCGCTAGGAGAGGGGTACTTTTAGAGCGGTTGCTATGAGCCTCTAGCTGCAGTTCTTCACTTGGCCGCCCACTTTGGAGCAGCATCTCAATAAGGTCTGGATGCTTATTGGCTGCCGTTAATAAAGGCGACCAACCGTCATTGTCCCGGGTGGCAAGTGTCGACCCGTGTTCCAGCAGGATAGAAACAACGTTGGCATGACCACCGTAGACAGCTGCATTAAGCGCGGTCCAGTTGTTGTTTTGTTCCACGGCATCCATGTTTGACTTGTCTTTAGCAATAAGGAGACTCACTACCTCGGCGTGACCGTTCCAACTTGCTGCATGTAGAGAAGACCAGTTGGTTCCTGTGAGGGATTTGGTATTGGCACCTGCTTTGAGAAGCAAGTCAACAACGTCGACGTGTCCATTCCAGGCGGCTTCATAGAGCGGAGTAGCCGCGTGGTCAGTATGCTGTCTGGCTTCAATGTCTGCCCCATTACGAAGGAGTAATCTTGCCAGTTCAGAGTGCCCCAAAAAGCAAGCCATGTGCAGTGGTTGATAGCCAACATTGTCTGTTGCCGCAGCGCTTGCTCCTTTCTTCAGGAGTAATTCAGCTACTTTGGTGTGCCCCTCTAGACACGCTGTATGAAGTGATTGTCGCCCGTCATTATCTGTTAAACTGATGTCTGCCCCGGCATCTATGAGCCATTCGGCTGCATCCACCAGTCCATGTTTAGTTGCAACATGGAGGGCTGTCTTGCCATCAGCGCCATGAAGGCTTAGCTGCGACTTGTCCTCGGAGAGCGCCTTGCTGAGTTCGCTATCAAGGTCCTCCTTGCCTATTGGCGGTTCAAGCTCTGACATTCTCAATAGCAGTCTGTGTAGGGCTGGTTGACGGTTGTCGATCTTGCCATCTTCGCTGCCCTCGGGGTCGGTTGTGACGCTTGATTCAGCAGAGTCGGGCAATCTGATCAAGTTGTGATGAGCGGACTCGTTGGCAGATGGTGCATCAACACTTGGCGGCTCCGTCTCAAGGACTGCCTTATCCTGGATATCGCCATTAGCCGACATTTTATGCCTCTCGGGAGGCTGTGATGTTCAGGCCAAGTTTAAAGATGAGGTCAATTATGAGGCCGATGATGATGAGTCGAGGGCGAGTGAGAGATGGTGGAGAAGGTTTGATCACCTCCACGGTTTCAATGAGGCAGGGTGAAATTTTCAAGTTGAGAATGGCAGAGGCTCCATGGCTGTGGCAGATCTGAAGTCTAACAGCCCACCAGGCCACTGTTACCAGTACTGCAACTGGAACAAGCGACAGTGACCCGTCTCTCTTTGATGATTGGGTCGATTTCTGTTATCCCCACCCTTGTACTGAAACTGAACAGCAATGCTACCAACCATTTGGGTTGTAATTGACATCAATAATGCCCTACACGTGTATGTGCATTGGGCGTTATCTAGCTTACTTGTGGCGAGGGGAGACCGATGGAGATAATACACTCTGGCGATAGGTGAGTACGACTGGTAAACATTTCTCTTCGTGGCTTTAGTACACTTCACTTTCGCATATGCTTGTGGATTCCCACGTCAGCATTTCTTGCTACCCGACCTAATACCCAGTTTTAGTCCAGGAGGGGGGTTAGATGCTTCTGAGGCTGGGATTGCGTGGCTGCTTGCTGGCATGACACTTGTGCAATCGCAACCCAATCCTCTCTTTTACCACGGATTGCATGATGCAATGATCACCACACTCAAGCACGGATGCCAAACCGGAAATCTCCAACAAGGATCTCACTGAGAAAAACTGGAATCGAATTTCGTGCTAGCCAGGCTTCTGACATCCCTACACGAGAGTGGCCCATCTAGCCTGACTCATCATCCTGGTTCGATAGTGTATTGTTGAATCGTGGAAAATTCTGCAAAGCACCTACTTTCAATCGAAAAGCGTATTGATCGAATCATTGGCTTTTGAACGATTTCCCTGCGGGATCGAAAGTGTCACGTTTTCCGGGGGTTTTCTATCACTCACGGTTTGGTTTGCCTAGGCCAGGAATGCATATTACAATGCCACAAACGCTCATCGTAAATACGTCATAGCCATGAATAAGTTAACGGCTGCATTATTTGCTTTGAGCCTGACTTAAGAACCAATCCATCAGCCCTGAAATAACTCATGCTAGGGAAATAATAGTTCCCTTGAAAAGAAAGCCATTTCTTGGTTCCTAAACCGAAGCACGGACCCAAATTTCGCGGAGAAGATTCACTTGGGTTGCTAGCCGAGGATCGTCGGTTGGCAGCTAGTTATTGATAACAATTTCAAGTGTGCGGCGCCATCCACGCTGTGGCTTTATACGTAGTAAGAGATCCCTCTGTCTTCACAATAGTACTGAATAATGGTGGTGGGTTTGTGATTCATTATCTCACACCGAAATTTATACATAATTGTTTGACCTTAACAGTATGGAAAGCGCCCAAGAACTTCGCGCAGCTCGCATATTCATCCGGGTTCAACGCTTCGCCCTCAGACGATAAGGTGAATATCTCATTTTAAGCAACTCCGGACTATGCTCGTTTAGCTGAGGCGGCAGCTGGCTTGAGGTTTGGGTATGATAGTAGGATACAGAATGCCACGGGGTGGGTGAAAGGTTTCCGGGTTAAAACTGTCGGGGATATCCGACAGGCTTTGCACTTTGCAACCTCTCGAATTGGTGAAGATCCAAAGGATATGCTTGTCGAGCCGATTATTTGAGCTAGATACCCGATGTCTGGGTTTCTGAGGGTGAAGGGGAGTGGTTCGACGCCCCAGATACGGAAGCTCACCGACAATAATTTCACTAATCTATAATATTGATGTCTAACTCGGTACAACTCGCCGGCAGTCTCTTTCCAGCTCTGTGAATACCAGAGGACAAAGCACGATCTCTTTAACTACTTTCAGGTAGTACCGGAGGTATCATGGATGCCCCTGGCAAGTTGGGCTCATACTTTCAGCCTCATGATTTGTTTGTTCGCATCTCTCCGGTTCAAGACAATCGAGTGATGAACCTAGATGCTGGATTGGCTATTCCCTGGGATATCAGCATTACAAGCCGGTAAAAAGGAGACGATTATTTTCTTCCTGATGCCTCGACTCGAAAGGTGCGAATAACAATGCTCTCCTATTGATTTTACCTGTTCGTGGGCCGCTAAACAGAAGGCAAGTAGTGACTAAGCCTAGGGCGGGGAAGAATTGATGATGTGATATAGTATTGTGGTGGCTTTATTAATATCGCGATGAATGTCAAGGTGGTCAGTGGTTGGAGCCGAAAGGATAGATTATCTAGTTCTGTCCACCAATCAACACTAGGAACAATGATGTGAGCGATCATATGGTATAATATTCTCTCAGATGATACAAGTTTCACCCGCTATACATAGGCAAGATAGGCTGCTGCTGATGCGGGGTGAGACAGATGTGCTGGAAGGATATAAGCGCGGTCACGCAATTGCGTCCAACGGTCACGACCGATCACGACATCTCTTTGGGGGCGGCGCATGACACGAAACACACAACAGCCACTGATTGATTACTGTTTTGTCTGTAGCTTAGATTAGCGCCATGGCCGAGATCGCCATTCCCCTCATGTGTTCATCTGGGAATCTACTTCATCTTGGACCCGACCATCACATTCTTCTTCCTCACCCCTGCTTCTTCAAGGGTTTCTAGTTCTGCTCAATATGGCTCCCACGCCTTCAATACCCATGACAGCCGGGCGCAGATGGCGCGGCACGGAGCCCATGCTTTCAGACCAGATCAGAAGTGAAGAGGGCAGCGAGGAGTCGCTCCCGCTTCTCGGAACAAGCCCGTCGTCGTCTGTTTCTTCAACAGAATTTGAACCCAAAGAGCCCGAGGTGTTCTCATTATCGCGAGAAAAATCTCCGTTATCCTGGTTCTCATGGAAATCCAGTAAAGATGATTATGACGATAATGACAGCGACGCCATAGCTACACAGAAGTCCGTGTTTGATGATCCCAGCCACGCAAAAACATTCCAGCCGAGCGTGGAATGGGAAAACATCCACCGGTTTGATCCGTCAGCCCGCTGGACCTGGGGCGAAGAACGAGCAGTAGTCCGGAAACTCGACTTCCGCATCCTCGGATTCATTTGCGTCGCGTTTCTCGCACTTGAGCTGGACAGAGCGAATCTTGGCCAGGCACTGTCTGACAATTTCTTGCAAGATCTTAAATTGACCACCGATGGTAGGCAACGCAGCGCCTTTCCTATCCATCATCATTTTATCCGTGGAAATTCTTACGTGGATACTTTTTCTTAATAGATTATAATCTTGGCAACACGTTGTTTCGATTAGCATTCCTCTTCGCCGAGCTTCCATCCCAACTTATCAGTAAATGGATTGGACCAGACCGATGGATCCCGGCACAGATGTGTCTTTGGAGTGTTGTGTCCATCAGTCAATTTTGGCTCTATGATAGGTCGAGTTTCCTCTTCACAAGAGTCTTGCTCGGCATTTGCGAAGGAGGCTTCATTCCCCAAGTAAGTTTCCGCCGGCTCGTGTATAAGACGCGACCATAACAAGGCAGTTTTCTCATTCTTTCATGGCAGGTCATTCTATATCTGAGCTACTTTTACAAATCTCATGAACTGTCACTGCGAGTCTCATACTTTTGGGCAACCATGTCATTTGCAGACATTCTTTCTGGTGTTTTTGCTGTCCCTATCTTGCAGCTTCGCGGACAGCATGGCCTTGAGGGCTGGCGGTGGTTGTTTCTGATTGAGGCAAGTAAAGAACCTGCCACACGAAATTACAGCAGTGAAAATTAACCATCTTCTCTTTGATAGGGCATTTTGACATTGGCCATCGGACTACTCGCCTTCCACCTCATTCCACCATCTCTAACTGAAACCTCCAGTTGGTTTAGCGGCGGTAAGCCCTGGATGAACACAAGGTAGGGCCGCCTCATTTTCATCGTGGGATTGGACTGGGCATGACTGACATAGCGGTTTAGGGAGGAAGTCATCTCAGTCAACCGGATTATTCGTGATGATCCCAGCAAGGGACAAGTACACAACAGAGAGCCCATCACGATCAAGAAACTGGTCAGTTGTCTTCTAGACTACGATCTCTGGCCGTTATACATTATCGGTTTGCTGTTTGGCCTGCCCATGACACCACCAAGACAATATCTCACGCTGCTTCTTCGCGAAGTCGGCTTCAGCACAGCAGTGACCAACTTGCTCACCGTCCCGGCCATGGCATTTTCGATGTGCTCCATCATAGCCATCAGCCAGCTATCAGAGAAGCGTCAGGAACGATCCCTTGTTGCAATCATTCCTCAGGTCTGGGTGCTCGTAGGATTAATAGTTCTCAAAATCGGAGATGTCACACAGATGAATCCATGGGTTGTCTGGCTGGTTCTCACGGCTCTGCTTTCATACCCTTCCCGTACGTTCTCTTTCTTCCCCCCAAACTGATGAATTTAATGTTGACATAATTGGTGGTTATCGTTCAGCGCATGCTCTACAAGTCAGTTGGACGTCGAGAAATTCAAACTCCGTGCAGCTAAGAGCCGTCTCTGCCGCTGCGTATAATATGTGCGTTCAGGCTTCGGGCATGATCGGATCTAACATCTATCGCGAAGACGACAAACCGCGGTACGAAAGAGGGAATCGCAATCTCATCATAATAGCCTGCGCAAATATTATTCTTTATTTCTTGGTCAAAGGCTATTATATGTGGCGAAACGAGGATAAGACGAGAAAATGGAACGCCAAGTCGGCGGATGAACAACAGGCGTATCGGGAAACCACCATTGACGAAGGCAACAAGCGATTGGATGTGTTACTTGTACACTGATCCAGTCGTTCATTTAGATGCATTACCAACAAACTTTCGGGGGCGTAGTACGGGCCCGCGGCTCTCAAATGAACCCGGGAGCCGAGGTCAAATAGAGCAAGTCAATTAGAAATCACCGGCCTAATTAGACGGGGAGTTATTAGATTTACAAGTCGGACAGTTAGTGAAGAGAATCAACCTTTGTTCATTTCCTCTGGGGGAAATGAGGTCTCCAT